GCCTGTGTTGCTGCTGTACAGTAGGCTGCAGTCTATGGCCTGTTATCTGCCTCAACAAGAGAGTAAGTCCCAGACCTCCTGTGACACGAGTTGGACAGTTTAACTCTCCCTTACATCAGCGCTGATTACTCAGGGGCAGTTATAGCAATTCAGCCACATTGGTCTAAGTGTAGAGGGTAATAACAACTCGTGTTCAATTAGTGGTTCGGTGGAGAAATGACGCGTTGCGCAGCGCAGTTTAAGGGTGTGTGATTCAAAGGTGGTGTTACCACTCAGAATTGATGACAACAAAGTGGAAATTACTAGCTGGTAAATTGGGAGTTCAGTCCATAAATTCTAACACTGTTAGTTTACTGTTACCTGTTAACATGTTAAATGAGTGTTTTGCCGCTTGCATTAACATACTGCATTTGTTTTCTGTTCCAACAGACAAGACGGTCTATTCATAAGTTGTTAGAGTGGGAAAATAACCGGTTATACCACAAGGTAAGAAAGACGACAAATTGCAGATTAGCACCTGTGTTAAAGTGCTTAATTGTCCGTGTGCAGTGTAAGATGAGTATCATCCTGATGGATAATGACCATTAATCTGGTTTGTATAACTCCAACCCCTCAAAGCTGTTTGAGTCAGATCTGGCGCACGGGGTCTGCGAGGACCGTGAGGTCAGCAGTAAAATGCCATGTTAATTTTGTTTTGTCTCGCAGCAACAAATTACAGCTAGTAGCTGTGCAAAGGCATAAAGGAAGCTCTTCAGGGTGTCTGGCCACAGTTTGACCCCGGCGAGACCAGACAGCCCTTCTCCTAAATTCCCCCGACACTGAAGGGGAGATTTCAGACAGATTTTCCTTTGTGTGTATGTGTGTGTGTCTTTTATGTGTGTCTGTTAGAGAGTGAGAGAGATGCTCATTCATTGTGTCTGTGTGTCTTTTCTTCTCTCATCAGCTGGGGCTGCACTGGAAACTCAGTAAAAGAAAATGTGAAAGCAGTAATATGATGGAATACGTAAGTAATGTCTATTAAATATCGGAAAACTAGTCACTTCGCTCGAGTAGATGTAATTTTTTATTTTGTCAGAAGTCAAAGAAGATATGCTGATACATTCAGTATCAACATGTTTGAACCTTGCCGGATGCAGTAATTAAGAATATTTATTCATTATGTTAGTAGAAACCGTAATTCGGTCGGCATTATGTTTCCGTATTTGCTGTTGCAAATTAATTGTATATAAATGTAATTTCTAGGAGACAGGGTTGCTTTATCAGAACCTTTTCTCTTTTGTCAGTAATTAATACCAAGTTACATGATTCTTTATAGCAAACCTCCTAAGAAGTCACAGGCACACAGGATCCATAAATTAAAGCATTACTTGACTTATAGTTTCAGCTCTAATGAAAACAATTATGTTTAAACATCTTGCAGTTGTCTTAAATAATAATTTATTTGTTGTTTTTTCTCCCTGTAGGTGATTCTTATAGAATTCTTACCCAAATATCCTATATTCCGACCGGACTGAGGATGCTGAGAAAAGACTGGATGTGTGGCCCTTGAATCTTATCCTTAGTGCCTTGTATATACAGTATGTTGGAATAAGGGTCTGCACTGACGTCTCTCGTGAGTCGTGACGACCCTGTACATCTCCCAGTACCTTGTACATTAGAATTTGCAACACTGTCACTTTGCTTTAGAGCAGATTTTGCACATTTTCCCAACAGAACTAGACATGTCCCCTTCGTTGCACTCGGATGTGTTTTTCTTACATGTGACAAAACAAGTGAAACTCTCAAAAAGTGCATTTACCCCAAAGAACCATCAACCTGTATCCCATCTATTATATCAGTAATCCCTTGCAAAGAATGTGATGCCTCCACCTTCCTAAACTATCCTTGCCTTATGTATGATTTTTTTTTTTTTAATAACTATGTGTAACAGGAGGAGGAAGGCATTGGGTAATTCAACAAGTCTATAGATTCAAATGCTGTTTGTTGGGTTTCCTCTTTTTGAATCCAGTTCTTTGCAAGTAGATGGGATGGTTGAAATTGCCTAACGTACAGTGTACGTCACCACCCTGTGTTTTCTCTTTACATTTGACCCTCTGTACGTGGGAACTAGCTAGTAAAAGAACTTGACCTGTAAATACCATGTTAGGATAAGCTGTACAGTGGTATACCATTGTTTACATAAAGTTACTTAGCTCTTTAGTTTTTTTGCCAATATATTGCTGTACCATAGTTTTGATTAATGAAAGATGTCTATGTACCTTTCTAGTTTATATGGACCTGTTTACCTTGTAAGCCATATAGTTGCAATGTACATGATGCCAGTGTTAGGACTAATTATTGCACTTGAGCCCAGTAGAAAGTCAGGATACCAGACGATTAAAGATTCATCCAGTGACAACAGCAGTGCATGTTACCATGTGGTTTTTGCCAATGAAGATGACATTCAGTGAGTCGTCATCTGTTAAAGCTGGAGATGGTTTCATCTCTGACGTGCAGTTGGAAGATAACGATTTGAACGCTGCTCTTCCACTCATCTGTTCACTATCATTTTATCCCAACTTTGCATTCATTTTTTATAGTTTTGTACTCTTCCCTGTGCCGTGTTTGGTCCTCCCCATGTGTTAGGAAGCACATACAGTCTACAGTACATGAGCAGATGGTTCTTTTGTTTCAGCCATTCTGTCCAGTGTTAGTGTTATTTTCCTGAATCTAGAGATTGCTGCATTGCGTTGTATTAGAGTGCCTCTGGAATAGTTGGTGAACCACAGAGAAGAACAGGTTGAAATCTGTTTTCTTGTACAAAGGAGATTTTAAATCCTCCTCCCAGTATTGTCTCTGTTACAATTCTTGTAAATGTTTGTCCTAATACCTATGGAGAGAGAAAATAAATTGTTGATTTTGATTTTTCTTTGCTGCTGCTTCCTTTTTTCATTTGAAAGCATTCTGTTTACTGTCACACCTAATCAATGATGTGTCATCTTGGTAAAAACAGATCATTATTCTGCTAATGCACTTTGTCTAAAACCACCACAGAAATGTGGCTATTTGTCATGTTTAACAAGGTGTTGAATCGTTAACTTTAACTAGACAGTCTGCAATTAGTTGACACATTTGTCGAACTCAGGAATGTGTTACTGTATCCTGCTGCTACTTTCTAACGTTATGGACCAGTGGTCAGAGAATACTGGACTGTGTTTCTGCTCTATCTCACCACAACCCCCGAGTACTGAAGTGGTGGGTTTTACTTCAGTACGGTTGGTTGGTTTTATGGTCCTTTGTTTTTTTGTTTTCACATTCACAGTCTGTCCCTGTTTAGACAGAAGGTATCTGTGACATTTTACTGCACCAGCACTCCGATAGTTTAAACTCAAGTTGCTGCCACCACTAGATTTAGTTTATTTGGAGCAGAAGTACTACAGTATGTAATAATACGCCTTCACTACAAGATACAGCCAAAAAGTGTATTTAAATTAATTTAGGATTTCACTACATCTAAAAACATTCCTCTGCAATGTGAGAGTTTCAGAATTTGGTTAATTGACTTCCCTAAGTAAGCAGTGACATGCAGATTTATTTAGTTTGTATACAGTGGGACTGTCACAATATCAGATTGTCACTCCACAATTATCAGGACTTAAAGAAGTCACAATATCATTGTGATATTTATAGAAACCTTTAAAACATTAAATATAATAGTGCTATCAGTCAAATTCATCTTTACCCTTTATCATGTGTTCTGTCTCTCTCTCTTGGCAAATTACTTACACACTGGCAACCAGCATTAAGGTGCATTACCACCACCTACTATGTTGCAGTGTGAACCACAAAGCGGCAACGGAAAGAAACAAATTATTATAGAGGGGCTGGATTATTAACACATTTATTATATGTGTATTAGTATTATTTATGCAATATCAATATTACATTTTTAAGTATCACAATTATTGTCAATATCACAACACCCCTGGTATACAATATGTAAATTGCATTTGACATAAAAAATTCAGTTTTAAAGTACAGTCCTTCTACTTTAGTTAAAAAAACTTTACTTAATTTCTGGTGCTTTATACTTCTACTCCACTACATTTCAGAGGAATATTGTACTTTTTATTCCCCTACATTTATCTGACGTAAGGAGTGGCTTTGATTTTACATAAAAATCATGTTTACATTATATAAAATATGACATATTAATTGTTACAGATTTAAAGCACTGCAGACCCACACAGGTGTTTTCATTTATGTTTCTGATGAGATTTTCTCAGGTTGAAGTTATACAAGGCTCTGAATCTGCTCTGCCGGGATGTCCATGATATCACCAATAACAACGAAAAAGTTGTAACTTATTATACAACAAAACTAACAGCGGAGTCCCTGAAGTCCTGAGAAGTTTGTACTTTTGAAATACTGCATGATGAGTACATTTTCTTTGGATAGTTTCAGTACGTTTTGCAGATTACACTTTTATTATTTATTTTAAATGCATGTAACAGAATAAATCTATATTGCAACTTGTACTTATGTTAAAGATGTACTTCCTCCACCACTAACAATTCATACTGCATATGACACCTTGAGTGTGTGTGACTTAAATATGTACTTTTTACATTTATAGCCTGTTGTACTGGTCTTACTGTCTCGTGTTTGCATATACAAATACAAATGTGTCTGGCTGTGTGCAGGAGAGGTTATAAAAGAGTGAGAAAGTCAAGACTCCTGTATGTGTGTGTGTATGTGTGTGTGCGTCTGAGAGTTGGGTCATGTTGCATTTACATATCATGACTGCTGAGCAAAAGTTTCATGTAAAAAAGTGTTTATATGCGTTTCAGAGGCTAAAATTAATACATTTGACCCAAAGATAAGCAAGAAACCTGGGTAACTTTTTTAATTCTATACAGTTCCTGTCCACTAGGGGTCAGACTGAGCCATGAACAGTGTGTACAGTTTATTAGACATGTCTGACTGCAGTAAATGAGTTCAATAACTTGCACTCATGCTCACTGAAAATCTGATATTTAATCATGGATTGTGGAACAACTGCAAAACCCTTCAGATCTGATCATTACAAGATTTTGGCAGCTTGTGAAGAACAGTAACATTTACATTCATATTAACATTTAAGGTGCAGTGATCACCATTTACCTCCTTGCTCAGCCTTCATAATGAAGTTAGAAGGCCTGATAAACAGAAAAAACAGCATCATTTGTTATGGTTTTACTGAACATAATAAAAGAGTGGACAGGTTAATATGCTCACTAACTACTGTATATGTACTGTAATATATATATATATATATATATATGTTATTCAATAAGTCTTGTATCAATTAAGATACAATGAAGGCCACCAGGAATGTGTTGACACAAAAAGAACGAGGTAAAACAAATATATCTGAACAAGGCCATTCTCCTTTTGCTATAAACTGTATATAATGAGAGGAAACAATGAAAGGAAACACATCTTTCAAAAGTGACAATTTAAGGCATGTATACATTCTGGTTTGTCCTTCAATGTCTACGGGGCACCCGCTGAAAGTCATTCAGAATGAGCTAATATATCATTTGAAAATAAATACAGAGCGCGGGTCAATGGACATTGATTTTTAATAAATCAAAAGCGGTCTTATTTATAGATTAACACTTTTGAGAGCAAACATTCATCACAGAATTATTTGCTTTGATGAACTGTAACTCACAGTTTTAAACAAAATAAATGTGTCCGAGTTTACAGGAAATAGACTTGGACCCAAGCCGTTTCCTACCAAAGCAATTCTGATTAACCGGTCTCCGTATGTTTCCTGTTGAGTTTAATGTGTACGATTTTTACTGATTACTTTTATGGCTTAGACAGGACTGGAGCTCACACATTTTAGACTCTTACTGTATGCAGCAGCATGAAAGTGTCGAGACTATAGGTCTTTTCTTTGGCTTCAACCTCGCTGTCAAAACCAAAGTCTCTTTATAACACAATGTACCTATAGCTGTTGATTTGAATTCTTAGTGTCACTTTGTTACGCATTTTCAGAGTGCAATGTAAATAAAGTTGATAAAAAAAAAAAACATCACACTAGTGGGACAAAAGATGCAAGCCAGGATAATTTTTCCATCTTTGGCATCAGTCTACACAGTCAGCAGCCACTTTGTTAATTGTAGTCATCTATAATTCTTCATCACAGCTGTCTAAATATATTGTAACGCTACATTTCATCTTTGGATGCCGTTTCTGTGAATCACTTGAATCAAGTCATGACTATCAAATGATAAGATTAACAGGAAAGCAAGAACTACATATTCAGAAAAGGATAAAAAAGCAATCAAAAAAAAAAAAACAACAACTATCCTTCCTGTTTACCCTTAAGATATAATTCACTGATTGTCATCATTTTTGCACCCTGATTAATCCCATTTTGTGCAACCATCTGCCCTTTGAGTGTGAGAGAACAATGAAACAAACAGGTACCAACTCAGACTATGCGTAAGAAAGTAATTTCCATAGTACACAGGATGGAACTTGAGTACACACAAGGTCTGTATTACATAACTGATAAAAAAAAAACGTAACAAGAATGTAACCTAACAGTAAGTTACCTATGGAGGAGACGGTGAGTCAAGAATGCAGCAGAACAGGGCAAAGATCTGTGTGTCTGCATGTGATCAACAAAGAGGGTGATAAGTAAAGAGAGTGAATGGGCAGAAGCTACACAAGACTCCCAGGCCAGGACACCACAGTCAGTGTGACTTTATTCTTCTGCAGCTTCAGCATGGGGATGAGAGAAGAGTTGTTCATTCCCACTGTTGTGGCTCCGTTCACCGCCACTATCTCATCGCCGCACCTGGAGGGAACCACAGATCATTGAGTACGAGTGATGACAGGATACAGGAGCGCATTACATCATACGGGAGTCAAATTGGGCTAAACTTACTTGAGGCGTCCGTCAAAGTGAGCTGGTGTACCAGGCACGATGGTTTTGATGAAGAAAGGCTGCTGGCCGTGGCTCTCCTCGTAGCCCCCGACAATACTGAAGCCCCAGCTCTCGTTGTTGGTCTTCTGCAGGACAATGTCTCGGCACCAGTGCATGTGACTGAAAGGACAAGAGCGGAAGAGTCAGAGCCAACTCTTTCAAATAAAAATTAACAGAATACACTTGAAGGAGGAGGAAGAGAATTCAATCAGTGGTAATGAAGGCGGCTCCACCTCGGTAAGCCCAGCCAGCGAGTCCACAGCGGCGTCCAGTTGAGGGCGTCGTCTCGTTGGTCGTCCACAGGATCCAGCTCATCCTTGTTGGCAGCCTCGATGTCCTCCTCCAAGTCCTCAGAGTGGGTCTGGATGACGCGGAGCACCACCTGGGACTGAGCTGTCTGAGCCTTCAGCACAGAAACCGCCTCATTGTAGGTCAACTGGGTGAGATCAACACCGTTGATGCTCAGCAGAACGTCACCTGAGGAAACAGATCATGTGAACGTGGACAGAGACATTTTAGTTAAGAGGAGCTCTGTGCTCAATATGAGGACGTTTTTCATTTTCCTTTTGTTTTTTTACTTTGCGTAATCTCAATTTGCTGTCAAGACGGATAAGACAGGATAAAAACTTTCTACATTGAGCGATCTAAATTTCCAAAAACAAGTTTTCATCCTGTTTCATCCATTTTTGTAGAAACGTCTGTCCACAGTGAAATACCTACAAAATATAAAAATGTCTAGATCTCTTCTTCCTCGCCCTCTTTTCAGTAGACAATACCCAAACCGCACATCACAGCCAACATCTGCTAAGTAGTGGGACAAACCGCCGGCTGTCCAAATCATTATTTCATGGTCTGGTCATCGTCTGACAAAATAAACATAATTATAATTACAAGATGACAGCTGTGCTGTATAATCGGCTGAATCAAGCTTTTAAATGTGTGATCACAGAAAAAGTTAGAAGCAACAGAAGGCTGTCTTCCTAACTTTGCTGTCACACAGCCCCCGCCTGTGATTGAGCTACACACATGGCCTGTTTCTTTGCTCAGTGACAGCCTCTTACACCTCTGTCCAGTTATCTTGATCCATATGTTCAGCTATACCATTTTTTAATACAGCCAAATTCGGCTAGTAAACACTACAGACATTCAGAAGCTGCTGCACTGCAGTGATATGATCCGTATTTTATAACAATGATTAGAGAGAAAGTTTGACTAAGAGAGTCTTTGTAACTTGCAGCCTGCAGCTCCCAACCCTCAGTGGACTGGTTTATGTCATCATTTGGCAAAAGCTCCATTTACCCCGGACAGACTGCAGAGTTATTTACACACTCTGGAGGCCGTTTTGAAAAAGCTCCCATTCTCTAGTCTGGGCTGAAATGGAGAGTTAAAATAAAATCTAACCGGCTTAATGTGGATGTATTGTAGACCACACCTCTCCCAAAGAAGTCAGTGTCGAGCCTTTATTTCAGCACATCCTCTCTGTTTAAGTGTCCTTGAACAACACATTGTATCCCTGAATAGAGGCAAGTGAAAAGAGAATTGCCCTTTTCCTATTCAGCCAACTGTCACATTGTAATAGATTTGCAAACTGAACTGGAAATTGTTTCCCATAAAACAGTTTCTTGCTGTTGCTGTGTTCAGTGTATTTATGCAAACATTCTCACACAATAAGCAAGCCACAATAAATAGCATTACAAAGACACATTTCCTAAAGCAATAAGTACAATTTCCTTATTAAAAGTAAAAATCACCGATCACCAGATGCTGCTTTGTACCTCTCTTAATGGTGCCATCTCGGTGCAAACAGCCGACAGGCTGCACACTCGTGATGTAAACGGGCAGCCGGCTGCGACAGTCCCTCCCTCCAGCAATGGTGATGCCCAGGGAAAGCCGAGGCTCCTTCTTCAAGCTCACTGTCTTCTCCTGGCTGGAAAACCCACCTGGAGGATCCTGTATGAACAATGAGGTAAATCAATACAAAACAATGTCACATTTATTGATTTAACATCACCATAAGGACTTTTAAAATAATGCCGGTGTCATGTTTTCACAAATTATTGTTTTATCTTTTTTTAATCGACATGAAATCTGTGCTGCCAATTAACTTCAGCCTCTCCAAGACCCTTTGACTTAATGGATTCCTCTCACAAAACCACTCGTAGAAACAAATGTGAAACATTTGAGATGGAGCTGAGAGGTAAGGGTAGAGGTAACGTGTGAGGATCAACACTAAGCTCTCGTAGTGGAAAAGATGTGTGGAAAATGACAGCTACAACCAGCCTCCTTGTTTCCCTCTACAGTCTGTAAACCATGAGAAGGGAAGCTCGGGGGAGGTGGGGGCTCTTCCTCCCCCCAGCAGGGAACCCATCCCCCCCCAGCAAGACGAAAAGGCTCCACTCTGCAGGCGAAAGCTAACTGTTACCAGCTTTGATCCTCTGCCACGCAAAGAAACAGCCAAAAAACAACAAGACAGTGGCCCCATAGCGGCAGAATGAGCAGCACCCCAGGCCTTTTGATCAGGACAGAGGGAGGCCCCAGAGAAGGGCTTTCATCTCTGCTCACCGACGCAGGTGTCTGCTCTCAAAGCTTCTCACCCCCAACTGGGGGTGTATGGTACAACTGAGTGTGACTGACAAAGGAGCGATTGTCACAATTACACTGAGTAAACAGAAACATGTAAAGTTTGTAAGATACTGCGACCAGCATTGTGCTCAGTGGTGTAAAAGGAAGTTAGAGTTCCTGCAGGCAACAGCTGGCGAGGGCCAAAATAAATATGGACATAAAATATTTCATTAAAATAGTAAGGGCATGGCTGGCTATGTTCAGTATTACTTTCATGTAGGTGGAGCGGCGCCTGAAGTACTGCGGCTCAGGCCTCCTGGCTGCTCTGCTCTGTTGTCCCTCTCTGCCGCCTCCTCCTTCTTCCTGAGTCTCTGCAGGTCTCATCACCACGAAGTTCACACGCACCTCACTCGCCTAAATGCACACAAAAGAATAGCAAGTCATTCCACAGTAAATACATATACAGGAGTCACTGATTGGTGTTTTGGTTCTCATTTTGGTAGTTTTACTTATTTTGTCCAATCAAAAACACATAATTTATGTTATTGCCAACCATTTTCCATGTCATAATTATTCGTTTTGAGATTGATTTGCTACCGTCCTGGCAGCCTCTGTTTCATTGTAATTTCAGGGAGGAATTCAACTTGCAGAGACTAGAGTTAATCATTAACATTAAACACACTTTAGATAACTAGCAGAAGGATCTATGACAAGCTATTACTTTTTATTAAGAGCAAGATAAGTGGACAAAAACTATTCAAAAAGCCATCATATTTTGTAAAGATACTCGTGGTCACCAAAGGATTTTTTTAATACCCCTTGACCTTTCCATTTACTGCCACTATCAGGCCAAAATATCTCAAAGTTGGCACATTTTCATTGGCAGACAACTATTAAATTTGTAGGGTACTTTATGCTCTTCAGGGGATACAGGGATATCCTGTTCAATTCATTTTAGGCCTTATGTCTTTTCTATTGTGTCATCTTACATGTGCCAAACTAGTAGCCCGACTACTTATGTAAGATTCCATTGGCAGCACCTCTTTTCTCTTATTAGTCACTTTGTACTGTGTAATTAATGCTGCAACTTCTAAGCCAGCAAAGTTCGAGGCCTTTAGACTTGTGTTAATGTTACATCATTGCAAAGTAATTGAAAGCAGTGACTGAGAGTCCTCCTTATGGCTGCATTCAAGTGTTTGTGGGAAACCCCAACAACTGATGACCAATAAGAAGTGAACAAAGCCCTTTTATGATTGAACTACATAATTCACATTAACCTTTTCAGACTGTTGTTGTTTGCACATTGCTTGTCCTCTTTGTTTCTCGGCCTCGATAACACAATAACATCATTCTAAAATTAAGGTGTTTAAAGGTTCAACATGCCAAAATGAACTCAAACCAATAGTAGAAGTCAATCTTTAAACTTGTGGCATGCTTTAGTAAAAGGTTAGTGATAATGTAGAGTGTGTGTATTTTGTAGTTAATCCTGTCCTATCTTTGGTCCTTTAATGTACCTGTATGATCTGGGCAGCGCTCTCAGGTGTGCCATGTCTCAGGTCATGGCCATTGATGGCCAACACTTTGTCATTGTTCCTCAGTTTTCCGTCTTTGGCTGCCAAACCACCAGACAGCAGGTCCAGGATGAAAACCCCACTCTCATCTGATTTGCGGATGAGTTTGATGCCGAGCGGTTCGGAGCGCTGACTCTTCATTAGCGTCACCTGCAGGACTGTGCCAGGGTTGTGATTGGAGGTAGCGTTGCCATGGGGACTGTGAGAAGGCTGGGAGGCAGTGGAAGTGGTGGAAGAGGAAGGGTGATGATCAGACCGTGGATCTCTTGATTTGAATCCTTTCTCCTGCATAACAGTGAGCCTGAGGACAGAAGGCTGCCGCAGCACTGCGATGGCCCGAGTGTGGGGGACTGAAGCCAAACTGACGTCATTCACCTGGAGACATGACAACAGAGAAAATAAAACATAGTGGAGGAGCAGCCAAACATAAACATGGCAGTACACACTGTACGTATACTGCAACTACAGGAAGTTATTACAAGGTTTTTGTGAAGCAGAGATCATCTAATGATGTTACTTTTCCTGCAAGATATCGGTTATAAAGTGGAGCAGTGACTCAAAACTCAAAACAAAAATTTGTGAAATCTGTCACATCTGAATTTCTTTTACCTGCATCAGACCGATCAGAACATATACGGAACAAATACTAATCACAAGTTATCATCAGCTCCTTTGTTCTCTTTAAAATAAGCATGTCACAGTGATATTTGCCTTCACAAAAATCAATGCAGTGGTTCAAGGGGAATGGAAAGATTGAGTTTCTTAGTGATGCAATCTTCACTCTTCTTCACCGTATCTCTTTACATCCACCAGCCTTCCACAAAACCAAAAGAAATGCAGCTAATATTTCACATCCTGAAGGCAGCCTGTTGCCTGGTAGGTTTTGTTTTCAGTTCCAGGTTCAGGATTGGTTGGCTTTGGAGGAAAAGCTGCATTTCGGAGGACAGAGCTGAGGCTAAAATACTTTATAAGCTCGGTTTACAGCTGTACCACGTTCCAGGAGAACCGGAGGGTAGAAATCCAAGGAGGACATTGTTGGAAGAGAGCAAACCACAACTTATTAAAATCTCCAATTAGTCATATTCTGCACTATTCTGCAAACCGAAAGCGTTACTGCAAATAAAACACTAAACCCTACTTAAAAATTAGTAGAAATATTATAATATAATATAAACGTATTTATGATATGTATAACATTTCCATGAGTATTGACACTGACCTCTAATATTTAGATAGTGAAATGTGTATAGAATTTGAATATCATACAAGTGGCACTAGAGCTGCAAATGTTTAGTTCATTAACCGACTGAAAGAAAATTAACCTGCAACTGTTTTGATAATCAATTTATTGTTTAAGTGATTTTTTAAGCAAACGTGCCAAACATTTGATGAATCCAGGTTCTTGCATTATAGAAAACTGAGGTTTTTTGAGTTTGGACTGTTGGTCAGATTAAACATTTGGTGTAAATTTATCCCACAATGCCACATTGGGCTCTAGGGTATTGTATTGTAATGTAATGAAACTGTTTTCTGCCATTTTGTAGACCAAATGATCAAAATGGAAAATAATCAACAGATTCATCAATAATGAAAATAATCATTACATGCAGCCTCTAGTGGCACAATAAATTATTACTGCTAGCAGAGAACCCATCACATTGCTTTATAATAACTCAGGTTATATAATATATAAATGTATATATGTATATGTTATTTAATCTTTATAAAAGAACAGATTATATTTTAGTCTTTGAACATGGACCCTCTCAAACAGAAAGGTGGTAAGTCAATCAGTGACATCAACCAGGTAAAGTTGCTTACACTAACATGACGTGTTTGGCCCGGCAATATTAACCACGCCTTGTTACCATGGAGCTTAAACCCGTTTATCTCGAATATCTACTCTCCCTGATGCAAAGCACCACATTTACAATATCATGAGAATGCAACGACTAAGTGTTTATGCAAAAACATGTTGGACTGTGTCCTGCTAAGCCACAAGGATACTTCTGAATTCCCACGCTGAAGAAGAGATAAATATTTACATCATGGACTACATTATGTCAACACTTTAGTCATTTAGTTCATGAGTCTTTCTGACCTCTAAGATATGGTCCCCTGGGGCCAGTCTGCCATCACGAGCTGCTAGCGAGTCCCTGACAATCTCTTGGATGACTATGTTCCCCAGCGGCGTGTCTTTCCCCCCCACGATGCGAAGGCCCAGCTCCTCTTCCGGCTCCTCTCTGAACAGCTCCACCACATTGGCCTCGGCCACCAGACTGGACCGCAGGGGGGTGTTGTCTGGAGGGGAGAGGAACAGTGGAATGAATATGGATGTATTTCCTGTTTATGACGCAAATAACTCCCACTCCTCAGCTCTTGATGGCTGAGTTGCACCATATACCTGATAAACATACAGTATGTGATAATAAAAGTATAATATCAATGTGCAAGCACAAACAGGGGTCCAACAGGGCAAGAAACACGAGCACTCAGGCAATCATACAGGTTTTAAACCAACTCTTAGGTTAGCTGAGTCAAACGGACACAATTATTACTTAAATCAACAACAATTCATCACAGTTTAAGGAACATGACTTGTTGCTCTAAACACTCAACACTAGATGTATGGGGTGCTCCTAGAAACGGGGAAAAAGCAGGATGAACAAAAAAGCAATCTAACAGCCTATTTGTTGTTTTATCCATCACAGTTTACAGACTTCCTGGTCCAACGTTGTTCTAATAACTACTCTTGTACATGCCCAGAATTGTATTGTTCAATGAGGGATTATTTCATTTCACATGTCCTTGCTTTTGCTTTCACCAACCAAATAAAGAGGTTTATATCATCCAGCTACTGTTACTGGTTACAACTTGTGTTTCTGTCCTATTCTAGTGATGTCACCAGATACGTACCCAGAACTCTTTACTTAAAGGTCAAGTGTGTAAAATGTAGGAGGATCTATTGGTAGAAATAGAATATAATATCCAAATGGTATGTTTTCATTAGTGTATAATCACCTAAAAATAAGAATTGTTATGTTTTAGTTACCTTAGAAGAGTGTTTTTTATCTATTGACACCATATGTCACCTCCCATGGAGGCCACCATCTTGAACCACCATGTTTCTACAGTAGCCCAGAAAGGACAAACCAAACACTGGCCATTTGCATATCTTGCACGTTACGCATGAAGGGGTGGGTAAACAAAGGGAATTGCAATCTGCAACTACAGCGCTTGATGGCACTAAATCGTGCACACCGGACCTTTAAGTGAGTACAGTGTTTCTATACTCTGTAGAAATGACAGCCAGGAAAACTGTACATGCAGTAAATTAAAGGAATACTCTGAAATGTTTTGTTACGTTGTTTGTGCTAAGATAAATTGAGAATATCTTGTACAGGTCTCCTTACCGAATGCATTGAGATATATGTTGATCTCCTCATCTAAACTCCCAGAAAAACAGCAAGAAACCAAAATTCTGGAGTAAACATTTACAAGACATGCATAAAGTTACATAATACTGTGTCAAACAATAACCTGTCTGTGAACTTTTGCTGACGTTTGTTTTTACAGTACACAGCAAACAGCAGCACAGATCGGGAACACACTAAAGCAGAGTCGTTCCAATAAACCAGCACACGTTCTAGCCCACTGAACAGAGACTCTCTGATCCGTGTGGACACACAATATAAGTATTTACATGCTACAGCTAATAAGTCCCATGAGCAAGGGCATGATTTCAGCAGACAACAGACTACAGACGAGTCAACATGCTGACATATTAATGCCTAAAACAATATTTCAGCAATCAATAAATACAAAACGTAATTGTAAATTTAAATGTGATTTTACGAGCATAGAGCGGTAACTTGATTACAACAGAGAATACAATGACAACAATTCAAACCTCTCTGTAGATAGTGATTACCAGTTGCCTGGCAACTATGTTTTAGTGGACTTTAGTCCATGGCACTGGCTTACAAGTTTCTTTCAGGGTTTTTCCCTGAAATGAGACTGTCTGGTTAAAACATCTGTGAGCTGGTACGTGTTCCTACGACTTGAAGGATGATTCACTTGTGACAGAATCAAAACCTGCAGGCTAAAAACATTGGAAATTCACGTCTGCGTGTTTTGACAAGCAGCCCCTTTGAAAGGGGGGAAGAGGCACAAGGGGTTTAGGTTTTCTGCAATCACCCCATGAAACTATTTCCGTTTAGCCTAGAAGCTTCAATAAACAAAAACATTACTCGGTGTCACTGCCACAGTATGACCGACCTCCTATTGCCTAAGTCATTTCCTAAGAAGTGGTGATTATAATTATCACGTTTCTGTCTATGTGGGTACAAAGAAAACAGAAAAGTCATTGTATTTGTGCTGTGCTGATTGTACATTAAACAGACTGGTGGGACTGAATCGCTGATATAATGGTGGTTGTTAGAATGATAAAATGACTCCATACCATCCTCACTTTCTTCATAGGCAGGATTAATCAGCCCGGGCTCAGGCTGATCTCGGGTAGGATTTCGGGTCAGAGTCGCTGAATGTTTAGCCTCACCAGACGACTCCCCGTCACCCTTACGTCCCTTTAGCTCGTTCCACGAGGGCCTCTTCCTCTTCTCTGCTTCCTCCCTCAGTCTTCTAAAAACAGGACATCTGAGGACAGACAGGAACAGGGAGGAAACTAGTAAAGGGAATGATGTGGCTGATGCCTGACCAGCCTACTCTTTCAGAAACAATCCTTGATGATAAAAATGGAAAGGTTTCGTGTTACAAAGGAGTGCCAGGTATGGATGAATACAGAAATAGAGAAAGCAAATGGATGTTAGAAGTGTTTTGAAAGGGAAAAGAGGAGACAATAGTGTATTTATGCAAGAGAGGAGAAGCACTATGCAGATGAGTAGACAATTTCACTGCATTGCAGGGTGTCTGAGTGAGACAGGTTGAGTCTGATTAAGTCAGTCAGAGTGCTGGGACTGCTGCTTGTTCTTCATGCCTGAACTTTGTCTCCTTATTGTTTGCACAGAGAGGCTGCAGTTGGACAATCTGCCACCCACAGCTGACTGCGTAACGGCTGGCCACCAGGATGATAAGCACCACACCGGCCATGTGGAAAAACAGGACTGCTGACCTAAACCCCGCCTTGAGCTCAATAATTACAAGTGTTCACAGAAGACCTGAGCTACCAGGAATAGACACAGGTACAACTTGAAAAGGAGGAAAACAGTCTTTGGAAGGGCATGTAGAGGAGGAATAAACTATTTTGATAACAGTTATTTTACATTCCTGAAAAGTAATCAGAATTCTTTTGGCAGAGTTAACAATCTTCAGATCTTATGATTACCTTCCAGTGGGAATGCATGCAGGCCTTGAGATGCCTTACAATATAATACATCCACTTTAAGAAACATAAGAGACATTTTTTGGAAATACGTGTATTTGCTTTTTAAAATATGAAGGTACAGCCAGCAACAATTTGCCTTTTTTTACAGTTTTGTACTGAATAAACAAACCAGAGTGAATTTAGTGAATTTAAGAGATGCCGGTAGTCAGATTTTGTTACCTTGGACAAAGCCAAGCCTGGACAGATATGAGTGCGGTACTGTATCAATCTTCTCATTTAACTCTCGAAAAGAATTTCCAAAAATGTTAACTATTCCTTTAATGACCGGTTAGTGGGGTTTGTTTTCAGTGGACACTAGGAAGGCTTGGTTCAACACCTTAGAGCACCAGAGACAAACATCAATATGGCATAAAGTAACATCAAACCAGCACCACTATAAAAATTATATTTTTTTATACAGTCTTCTCTTGCTATAAATGATTATCCTGTGCTCACTGATCTGTTTATATGCCCACTGCCTTGTACAATAATACTACTCACTGTGATATACAACTCTTTTGATGTATTCTCGCCGATATGCCTTATAAGGCTTAGTCACCATTTGAACCCGTGCCTCAAATCCCCTGAATCCCTGCTGAAAGCCCCTGTGCCTCTTGACAAATCAGCACTCTAACTCATCCTTTATATTCTGTGTCAAACATTTTGTTGCTAGTGATATTCTTTTCGATGTACTATGTATGGCTTTCCCCTGCTGCAGTATAATAAACACAACTCTTCTGCTTAAGGTGAGGTCTGCCTCAGACAGGGTCAAAAAGTCAAACTAACACAAGGATTTTAACCTCGTAACAGTCTAACAGTCTCTACTCAATCTGCTGTCACAGCCTGTCAGCGAACCATCCAGACTCTTACCTGTTGTGCAGGTGAGGCTGCAGTTCACAGCGCTGCATCTTCTGCTGACACTCTGCATTGTGGGGGCACATCACAGTCAGCTTGTCCAGCAGGTTCCTGACCAGCAGGCTGGAGGGACGGCACTGGTGCAGCTGCAGCCGCTGGCGGTCCACTGGGCAGAAGTCCTGCTCTTTCAAGAAGTTGCTCAGACAATGAAAGCAATAGGTGTGACCACAAGGGGTGTCCATAGGTCTAAGGAGGGGCTGCAGACAGATGTGGCAAACAAGTTCATCGTCCACATCATCCTGGTACTCATACAGGTGGCTTTCCGGGCCATCGTGCTGCTGGCCACACTCCTTACAAACCCGCGCCCACGACAGACCTGCAGTGCAACTGCTGCCCGCAACTTTGGTTTCTGTTGTAGCCATTGGCTGAGGGAGCTCAGTCTAAACTTCTTTGTCTCTGGAAAAGATCTGCGTCCTCTTATCTCCTTAAAAAGTGTGTCTCTATATTTCATAAGTCCATGTCTGCATGTCCAAACCTTAAATCCATTCCAACTGGGAAACAATGATCCGGAGTCAAAAATGTCATCTCCATGTCTTCATTTTGGTTTTCTGTTGAGAGAGAAGCACAGTCAGGTCTAGTGTAGAAGTTGGACTATTCCCACTCATACCGACCAGCTCCACAGGAAACGACAAATCCACAGAACAGCAGCAATATGGCAGCAAGCCGCAGCTGCTTCCTCTCAGCTAGTTTCCTGAGGGACAAAAGGAATTTTCCTCCCAGCTAAAAGTCACCGTGCTCCACACTGAAAGGGCTAAACTGTGAAATGAGGCAAGAGAAAATGGACTAAAGTCAAACCCCTGCTAATGGGAAGGAACAAAGGCATGGCACTATACCAGAGTAAGAATTTTGAATGAACTGGGCAGAAATACAACCCCCATCAAGAATGACCCCTTGCACCCAATCGGCAGTGGTCTCCATCCCTTTGTGCGGTTCCTAATCTCCTTTAATTCCCTCTCATAAGGAGAGTGCCGATTAGGAATGCATTCTTCTGAGAAACTTTTGGCCACTTACTCCACAAATATATTAAATACTCACGTCATAAATTACACCAAATACATTGAGTTAGATTAGCCAAGAGAAACTGCCTCCACTAACAGCATGTACATGGATTTTTAATTAAATTAAATGCAAAGGGTGAACCTTTATTCACTGCTCAATAAAGCCGGGAGCACAAAGTGCCTTTACATTTCAGTAAATGGCTTTTATTAAACATAAGGAGTTTTGCACTGAAGACTTTGACAGGCATCCTTTCAGAAGGTTTCATGGTGTCTGAGTGGCTAAAATAGCACAGAAATGCACAAAACACCACCAAATACCACCTTAAGACACACGGGTTTGTCCTAAGAACCCAAAGAAGTAAAGAGAAATGCTCTCCTGCACACTACCACATTTGAAAATGAAAAAAATAAGCCACCACAATGAACCCACTGCCTTTAGTCCCCTTCTCTTTGTGACCCCAGTCCAGATTTCAGCCACAAAAAGGCTGCTTTATCTTCAGTTATTGCCTTGGAGCGACTCACCCGAGATATCTTTGTTGTCAAGCGCCCAGTAGCCACCGCACGCAAACACGAGACTCTAACCTCGCAGCTGCCTCAAGCCTGAATGAAACTAGAGCCCTGCCTCTCCAGCAGCACACCGTCAGAATAATGTGTGTGTGTGTGTGGACACATATTTGTGTGCATGAGCATGGCTGTGTATGAGCTCTGACTGCACCGGCGTGAGGAATGCAGAGGGGAATTGGTGTAACTAGGCAGAGTGAGGGGAAAGGAGAAGTGTTCCCTCTGCCTCTGTCAATGCCAGTGAATGTGTGTGTGTTTGGGGGGGTTGGGGACTCATACTGCTGATGCTGCACTACCACAGGTAAAGTACTCTGGGTAGCTGAATTACTGATTGCAAACACACAAGACCGATTACAAATACGTGTGCACACGCCTTTCTACATACACGCACACCGGCTGAGGTCACACAGGCCTTCTTTCTCTCTTCATCTTCACTCTGTACAAGCGATACCTCGTCCTGTAATGGATAGGGGTCATGGATCCTGTAGCACAGAGAGGGAAGCACAGTAGAAACCAGGCTGTGCTCCATTTATTTGGAAATCACATGACTCAGTGCAGGAATGTGAAACAACCGATAAACAATATAATACATTAAATACACTCTGCTGCCCTGCTGCGAAAGGAGCAGCCTATTCTCTTATTAAAAAAAACATTCAGAATTTAACTGCTATCAAGGGGTAATATTTGCTTTGCGATAAAGTGCCATGCAGTAGCTGGGAGCCATAGCTGGCCGCAGAGAGCACCCAGTGGGTTTCACTGAGGAGCCACCCTGGAGACCCTCCTGATTACTGTTTGAAGGTGACTGGCTCTGTAATGATCTATCACTGTACACTATCACCAAACTGACACGGCAGTATATCTTCATGTTTCTCAAGGATGCAGCATGACATCAATAAAGGTACTCGTCTTTCTCTGGACGCTCCATGTGAAATGGACACTTGACAAAATGCAAAAGTATAATGTAAAATGTAAAAAAAAGGTGTAGTGCAGAGACGATTAGTTGACTGATAGTCAATGAATGGGTTAGTCGAGTCTGGTTTTTAAAGCTTTCTTTTCTCTGTTTTATATCAGAGTAAAATCACACCTTGGACTTCTGGGAAACTGGGATTTTTCACAGATTTGTGAACTGTGATTTTTCACTATTTTTAAAAATGAAAAGGCCAAACAATTACAGGTCCAGTGTGTAGGATTCAGTGGCATCTCACAGTGTAATTGCAGAACTCACCCTCCACTTCTAAGCGCAAAAGAGGAACTATGGCGGCCGTGGGATGCACATAAAACACAAACACCCCCGTCTACAGCCAGTGTTTGGTTTGTCCCTTCCTGGCTATTGTAGAAACATGGCAGCCCAATAGATCCTCTGAAATGTTTCACACTGACTTTTAATTAAATAATATTTGGCAGTATAGTTAATAATGAAAATAACTGTTAGCTGCAGCTCCAAACTGAATAGCTTTAAGTTATTGGCTGTTACTCTGAGAAAACAGTTAATCTGAAGCTCTGGGTTAGGGACATTTTTTATCTTCAGACTAGAATACACAACAGAATACAACTCTGAATTAACTAATTCATCCAAAGAGTAAAAATAAACAAGCAATAGTGAAGATAATCATCAGTTGCAGCCCTCGAAAAGTGTTAGATTCAAAACCTAAATCTAACTCAACATTACAATTTTAATACAAATTTGTATTAAATTTAATCCTAATCCCTCACTAGAGCCAGAAAAACATCTGACAGGAATCCCACCTAAAGAAATATTTTAGTCTAGACTGAACGTTCATGTTTATGAAAGTAGCAATAGAAGACAGTTTCGCAATAAAAGGGGTGAAATATTGTTTCTACAGGTTTGGATAGAACCAAAGCATCAATAAAACCAGCCTTAATGAGGGAACGCCTGATCCAAATCAAAGGCCTTGTAATCATGTGACAGTCTAAGCTTTCAAGGGAAATGTCTGTGGCCCTACGGTGTCCTCCAGTCTCGCAGAGGATTACCCGAGGTGGCGTTCCTTCAAAGCTGAGCCGAATCCCTCGCTTTGATGGTTGATATGAGTGAGTCACATGTGCTGCCACACCCTCAGTGAACGCAGGTGAGGCCATGTTAGACAAATAATTTTTCCATGAGGCAGGATGTGTGTGTCTCTACCAGTGTTACTCCAAGGTCTGGTATTACCAATAGACATGACACATTAAAAACTGCACGGGATGGAATGGAAAATTAATCAAATTGCTACCCAGGAGTGAATGACTCTTAATCACCAGTGTCTGAGTATGACATAATCCAGTGAAAAATTCGAACACGTCTAAGATTACACTTTTATGGCTGCGTCAATTACAGCAAAAGCTTCTACGATCAGTGCTCTTCTTAAACGTAAAGTCTAATTTCCTTTGTAGTTCAAATAAAACGCCATATATTTTGAGCACCATCTGAACATTATCTAACCGCCATAGCAACAAGATGCAAAGTCCCCTGCTTTCAATACAATGACCAATATTTGCATTTAAATAAATATAAATCTATATGCAGGAAATAATAATGAACAACACAAACCACCTGAGTGACCATCGTTCCCCCGAAGAGCTTTCCACTCCAACTTCCCGGTTTGTTCTTTCAAACAACCAAACCAGTTGGATTCTTCAGCCTCGCTCGCTGCAGATGCTCACATGTGCAGTGGTACCAATGTCTCGCCTACAGATCACACATGGAGGTTAAGCTTAAGTTCAGAGGGCCTCTGAGCCTCCCCATTGTACCACAGCCTGCCTGCACACACCAAACAAACACCGCCCCTACATTAACTTATCATCAGCCGAGGATATTGTTACCATGAAGGGCAGAAGGTAACAGTAATTCACAAACAAAAGCCTGTCTGTGCATTTTCCTACAGTGTCAGTGTCTCACCCAACCAATGAAAACAGAAATGTGTGGTATTACTCAGCTGATGATTGATTGATTGACACAAAATATGGCTGGTTGGAATCTTTTTATTGTCTCAGTGTCGCAGCAACTATATCTGTAATCCTTTCTTCTGCAGAAACTCAGCTTAACTTTTACTCTGTTGTTACTCGCAGCAGCTACTGCAGAGCAGACGTGGCACAAACTCTAGAATATGTCTGTGAAACAGAAGAACTGGTACTTGACTAAAATATTACTCAAGATGAGGTCGGATTACAAAAGTAGACCTTTTGAATACTGGACTCTGCATAGCTGCCCATAATCACACTAAATTAGGCCACTTTTGCATCTTGACCAGTGGGGGAAAAAGTACTTAAATCCTTTAAGTAAGTAAAAATAAAAAGAACTCAATGTACAGAATGGCTGTTTTGTAATATTACTGAGGAAAAAAGCATTATAATGAAGCTGTGTTGTGCTGCAGCGATGCTCTGACCTATAAATGTTGTTCTTTAAATGTAAGAAAACATGTTTGTTTGGCACCCAAAGGATTTCACAGAATCCTGATTTTAATAGTCATGTCAGAGATGCTCGCACTAATCGTGAATCATATCGCAGTATCTGTCAAAATAATCCCAATATGATGTTTTTAGCATGATACTATAATCTATGAAGATGCATCATATTTTATAAACGGATCATATTTTCCGTATGTGAAATGATTTAGCAGCAAAGTAACCAGTAACTACACCAATCAAATAACCCTAGTGGAGTAATATGTATATTACTATACAAGTATAAAGCAACATTAAATGGAGATAACTCAAGCACACTCAGTACATCTCCTGAGTTCCTCTCAAAATTAATACACAGGTACAAACCAATCCATCAGCTCTCCACACAGTCACCATCTGAGCTAAAAAAGCTACTCAATAACAGTAACAAGGACATTTGTAATCACTTTCCAGCCCTGCCTGCCTGGATGTGTGTTGTCACTGGGACCATAAATAACTCACTGGTCTCCCCTCCCTCCCTCCCCACTCTTGTCAGGCTCATGGCTGTTGGTTTGCTCCTAATCACTACAACAATGTGACAGATCCAAATGACAGAAGGGGTAATAAAAGTTAGACTTCATAGGTTCCTCAGTCACACCGACGGTATCCCGGTTAATACAGCAGTTAGAGCTGGTTCACCTTCAGCTCACAGCCCGCCGAGAAAGCGCTGACTGCTGCACACCTTGACCACGGAAACTCACTTTTCTGCCAACGAATGAATAAATGCTCCAATACACCCACATTTGACCAACAAATACAGGCCCCTGGTGTTCCCCCTAAAAGTCTGACACAGCTTTACTCGAGGTCGGTTCACACAAACGAACACAATTTGCTCAAGTCGAGACCGAAACTCGTCTTACCTGTGTGAAGGTTGTTTTTCCCCCGGAAGCAGCTAACGTATGACGGCTAGCTGAAACAAAGAGACCACCGTTTGAAGTCAGTCAGTAATACCGAGTTTAAAACAGCCCGGATACACTGGACAGCAGCCACACCGCAGAACATTTATTGTTTCTCTTTTTTTTTTTTACCGCATTGCTGTGGCGGAGTTATCGCAGCCCGTCCCAGGTGTTAGTTCAACCTACAGGCGGAGGCTGGGCGACGGTCCCAGTTTCGAGCAAACACAGGGTGAGCACAGGAAGAGGTGCATGCAGGTGTACACAGACACTGTGACTGTATGTAAGGTATGTACTGTATCCATCCTCTGTCACATAACACACACATTGCAGTGTACCATTAATGAACTCTAACTATTATCTTACAAACACAGAACAATACAATATTTGTGCATGTATCTAACATACAGATTTAAATGTAAAATTATTATTTTTTTTAATTTACTGATAGGAGACTTACAAATATTGTATTATATGATAGATTTCATTAACAAAGTATGTTAAAAGTAGTGTTATAAATAAACTATTGAATAAACTATTCAATAAAATTCAGTAGCATGTTTTTGTCTATTTAGCCCAAACTCAACATAGTTATTTGTTTTAATATTAGATACTTACTGTAAAGATCCCTTCAGATGTATTAAGACATGTACAAATGCTCGCTTTGGAGCAATAATGTGCGTTTGAATATATTTTTTTTCCCACATAAAAAACATAAAACAGAATCTATCAAATATATACATTTAGTTCATTTCTGAAGTTTTCCTTCTGGACACAAGATGTCTCCTTCTTCACTGTGAAGTCCATTCTCAGTGTATGTGCACTGGTGGCTATAGGTTTCTATATCACCCTCATGTAGAAGTTGCACACTGGACCAGGACTGACCTCCAAACTATGTGTGACGTCACAAATCCTGCTTGCAGGCCCCGCCCCTTAAAATCAGACTTTCAATGAGCCCAGAGAAACTTTCCCTTTTTGAGCAGTTTAATGTGAAAACTGTTTGTTGGACAAAACAAGCAATGTTGTCAGAGTGTCAGTGTTTATATGACTGTATAATTGTAATTAGCTCAGGAAAGTACATTCACTCAAGTACTGTAGCTGAGTACAAGTTTGAGGTACTTTATTTTATACTACTTTATTCTTACAGTACATTTTAGAGGCAAATATTATACTTTTTACTCCACTACATTTATTTTATAGGTTTTCTTTACAGGTAATTTTATAGATTATTTTTTTTTTTATATATATATGTTAATTTACCCAGTAGTATATAAATTAATTGTAATTAGCTCTTTAGCTGCAACATTAAAGTGATGTACACACTGATGCACCACTAATTACAATCCAGTAAAATAATATACATCATTCTGAAATGGACCATTCTGCATAGGGAGTGCTTCTAGTCATTTTTGATGTTAACATCATACTTTTGTACTTTTACTTGATTGTGATTTTGAATGCAGGACTTGTACTAGAGTATTTTTACACACTTTGGTATTGCTACACATACTTCAGTAATAATATCTGAATACTTTTTATCCACCACATGGATTTTAAGCCCACACTTGAATCACAGATTTTGAATCAGTTTATATCGTCATCCTCGTTCCCAATACTAGTCCACATTCCAGACCTTAATGTCTAATCAAAACATCCTGTAAGTTGAACACTGGATGATGCTGAATAGAAATATTGCTAGTTTGGGGACTGTGCCAGTTAAAAGGACTGTGACACATGAACACACGGTGTAAAGCGCCATACCCCCTGCAGAATGGAAGGGAAGTCTCTGTGCCATAAAACGTCTCTGTGAAAGCCTGTTTCCCCCAGGATTTATAGCTGTGGTAGGAAACCTCAATACAAAGTGACATTTGCTGATACAAGCTCACAGACTGAGACACTCCATTGTGGCAATACAGACGTCAATTGGTCTGTATTTCATAAGACAGTCAGGAAGTGAAGCTACGTTTTGATATCAGTGTTAATTGAATTACAGGATTAATTTATTGAAAGGATAGCCCCTTGAGATGCAGCATCTCATTTTCAAGGGCGTCCAAAAGACACAAATATGGGAAGAATAGATATAATTTCTATTACAAAGTGATTTCCACACATCTTAACCTCTAACCTAAATGAAGTAATGCACATACTGTATTCACTGGCATATACCCAATACCCACAAATGTACCAAAAGCAAAATAAGCTTGAATGTTTTTGCCATGAAAGGATTTTTAAAGGACATCTAAATTTGAATAGCCCAAAATAACAAATCACCAATTAGCCTCATTTTCCTTTGGATTCAGGAAAAGCTCTATATTATTCAACTTTAGTGTAATATACATCATTCTGAAACTGTTTATGTCACCATTTTAAATCAGATTATATGCCAAAATAGACCTAAAAAGTCTGGAGAACTGTCCAATCAAATTACATGAAGCGTTTATGTTTTATGGTGACGTCAGAGTTAGAAGTAAAACATTGTTTACAACATGACAGCATGATGTAAGTGATTAATGTGGGCTGAGTTACTAATAGCTGGAGAAAGGTTTGAGGACTTCCTCCACTGTCTATCAGCATAGATGAGAAAGAGTGACACCATGTGTTTAGATGAGGTATCATATCTTAATTGGGTGAAATTGCTCAGAAATTCAGAGTTTAATGGCTACTTGTTGTCAATTGATCACATAATCAATTAGAATTAGTTTAATATTATTCTAAAGTCCTCATTTATCATAACGTAATCATAAATTCCAATGATTGTACATATTTAGGATATTTTGCAGACATCTGGTGTGTGTAGCTGCAGCTTTTGACATGCCTTGGATGTTTTTTTCTGTCTGATTGTATTTCACAACATTGAATCTGGTCAGCTTGCTGATGGGAAACTTGGAAGTGAGGTGAAAATGCAGAGAGAAAGATAAACACTGACCCAACAATACAATACATCCTGAAGCTCTGTCTCGCTCTCGCACACAGACACACACACACAGAATTGACCCACAGCTCTCTGTTTTAGCTGCAGTACCTACAAACAAGAAAGAGGCTGTTTGTCTTTCCTGGGATCAGTAAACATCCTCAACACAAACAAGTTCCTCTGGAGTGAGAGAGGAGAAACTCACACCATCAGGGCAGCTGCACTCTCACTCCACCAGAGCCTTTGATGTCCTTCAGAGAGAGCTGATAATGAAGGATCCTTACATCTTAATTCTTTTAATTGGAGCGTGGATGTAACAGGTTGCTGATACCTTGCTGTCATTGTGTTGGCTTGATGTGAACTAAAGTCAAATTAAAGAATAATCCTTATTTTCAAGTTGTGAGGAAAAACTTGGTGCAGTTTGTCTAAAGGGTGATGTTCCTCCAGTTGGCTTGTACTAAAAAATAAAAGCTTGTGTTAAAAGCAGAGCTCTGTGGCTTTGTCTTAAAAAATAAACCTATTAAATATTCTATATTATTATTACGGACAACAAATTCAATGAAAAGACCAAAACCAACAGAACATTAGTCCATCTCTCAATACTTTCTGACTCAACCTGTCTGTGGCCTCAAACTCATTCCTTCTTACTGAAGATGTAGATCTTAGAAACTGGTCACGAATATAAACTTTCATTTTTAAAAGGGGCTCAATAATTTCCCAAAACAACTGGGCAATGTAGTTAATATCAAACATTGAACACCTGTAAACTCAAACAGGAGTAAATTGTGCATTTATTGGGGACTAGTTAATAAACATCTGGTGTTCTGGTGAGTGTTTACTGGAGCAGGAAGGTGTATGTGGGATCGGCTCTAAATAAAGTGTCCACATTCATTATAATGAACAGTGCAACATTTATGTGTTTATGCACAACAATGGAAGTCCATGGCACAGATGAATAAGCTACTGTATATATATGTTAGTGTTGGTCTTTTGGAATTTCTCAACGATTAAAAACAAAAACTGGTCCTTTAACTTTCAACCCCTACACCCCACTGGGCCTCGTTCTATAAACAAGAGAAAGGATTTAGATACAACTACATTTGTATCAGCTCTTTTGTTTCTAACTGTTGCTATGGGGAAACCAAGGACACTTTAAGTCAGCAGCAGCTTGCTAACCCCCCCCTCTGGCCACTCCAGGCAAAAAAAATCCCTCCTCCATCTTGCCCTGGGCGAGACAGCGAGGCATTTGGTTCGGGCCACAGCTTGTACTGCTGCCCCAGGTCCTGTCTGGCCTCCACATGACGGCTTTTAATCAGTGACTTATGAGAAGAAACCCCTCAGACCACACTGTGACATTCAAGCTTCTCTTCACTGGGCTCAGTTGTGGGGTTTGGATGTATTACCTGATCATGGCATATCTTAAAATCTTCTTTCTCATAAAACAGTCGTCTTTTTTATTATATTATTATCCAGAAATTGGCTGGTCACTTAACTTAGGCAGTATTTGTGCTTTCTGGTTAAAATAGTATAGCTCAACATGTTAGGAATGCTACTATTGTGTGAAATCCTGAGGACAACAAGCTTGTATGTTTGTGTGTGTGCATCAGGAGAGTCTTTCCAGTCTTCCCTGTGTAAATATGCTTAGCCCCATCTTCAAGGGCTCGCTTGTTTGTACCTGCCGTGTCGTTCTGCTCGTCCACCCAGCATGACACCCTGTAGCCCAGGATCAGCCCCTCTGAGATCAAAAGACCTTGGTGATTCTTATCAGATAATATTCTTGTTCGCCTTCCCTCCCCTTTGAGTTCAGCCTCCTCACACTGTTGACCTGGACCATGCACACTGTTTCTTATGGCCCTTTGGCCTTTCCTCTTCTTATCACCATGATGACCAGGCCATGATAAGGCAGGTCCAGCCTCAGGACAGAAGGAGGGTACTGTCCACCTTTCTAAACCTCCACAGTTGCATAACTTGGACACTTCAGGGCAGTAATGTGTGTGTTTTACACACTCACAAAGACACAAGTGAGATGTATACATCAATTTAAGAACGAAACCACCATGTCCTTTAAACATTTTAATGCTGTAGGTATCGTTTTGGTTTAATTGCACCTGATGTTTTTGCTGCCATCCTCTTAGTTAAAAAAAGGCTGAAACCTGGTCTGACACAATCACATTTTTAACCCTGACCTGTGACAACAGTGCATCTGTCTCCACGTTGTATGCATTTATGAGTATGCAGGCTGAGCAGACAGACAGGGAAGACTGGTGTCCAAAGTCACGACCCTGCCCTGACCTGGATGAAGGAAATGGTCACGCTGCTCGAGACAAAGCAGGGCAAAGGAGAGTCTGAGGGGCTGGCTGGTCAGCCTCTAACAATGGGTCCGTGCTCTAAGACCGCGGGCCACACAAAGGCCAGAGAAACCCCCTCCTTCCCACTCCCACATTGCAATAGAGCTGGCATTTCACACTGGCCTGTGAACAGCCATTCAATCAAACTACTGTTTAACCTGACCTCTGGCCTACACAGAAATCAAGATGAGTCTGGCGGGATGTATTTAGGTAACAGACCTCACTGGCCTTACTCCCAGCCAGCTATAGTTACTACACAACTCTCCACTTCAGTTAACGATGTACTAACTTTAATCTTTAAAATGCAAGACGTTTTCTATTTTGTAATTACTACTCCACATTCCTGTAAATATTCCTTAAAAGCATGTAATCAATAGGCCACCCAATAAATAATGTGTCTAGTGATGGCTGTAAGGAGCAATAGCTCCCTGGGGAACAAGAGACACCACCAGACCCTTCGTCTGGGTCAACTACCCTCGAGCCAGGGCTGAGAGAAGCAGCAGCCACATGACCCTCTCTCTTCTCAATGGGCTGCTCCTCCCCTCTACCTGTACATGGCTCGGATCAAGGTGTGGGGGCTGCATATCAAACAGACTGAGGCCTTTGATGTGGATGGAAACACAAACACTGATTTGAGCAGAGTCGTAACAGCTTATTTGTTCCCTTTAGTCATTCATTGAGCTGCTTGTTGAATGTGTATGTCTTCAAAGGACTGCTGCATGCACTGGTGGTACAGTAGCCGAGGAGGCCCTGAGAGCTCCCTGGCCCTTGTGGGTTGTGGGAAGGCCATCTGGCTTCCTGTTCTTTAGATTTGATATTGATTTATTGGTTGTACATGGAAAGATAAGGGGGCACCAGCTGCCAGAAGTTCTCCTCTGCATCCTTACAGACAATGGGCCTCCTGGTCATCTACATCCTGACTAAATAGGTAATGCATCATTCCTCGTTAAACCTTTACAAGGTAAATAGAAATCACAAAAAACAATATGACATTTTTCCACAAATTCCAAATTAAATTGTATTTTAAAATCACTCTTTTCTTTGATTTGGTAATCCCCAGCTGTTCTTTTAAATTGAAAATGTCACTGCAAATAGGGTAATATTAATTTACGGATGCATCATCACAAATTAATTCCCTAAGGCGCCACACATTTACAGCATATTTTACAATTTACTGGTCTGCAATGCTGAGATTAATGTAGTTTTAGTGTTTGTTGTATTAAAGACTGTTCCCAGTAATGAGGTGCAAAATTGCATTTACTATTTCTAACAAACCCTGACAACCTTTCACAGGTTAACCCATCACAGCAACCATTAATTCAGAATTAGGCTCCTATGCATAACAAGTCTCCCATTCCTGTTAAGTGAGCCAGGGAGTGCGGCAGTTGGCCTGAGCCTTGTTGGTAGAGGTGTCAACATGGTGCCCCAGTGAATTGTACTTATGCCTGAATTTTCTCACCACTGCACCCCCGACCCTTAAAAAAAAGACATACAGACAGACTTTGGTGTCACCCATCCTAGCCTGTTCCCCACCCCCACCCCTTTCTTCCCTTTCCCCTCCCCTGCCAACACAAGCCTGTGATGTGACTGTCTCAGATAATGAGGTGAGAATTTTATTGCACCAGTCTGTGAGGATGACAGCAACCCAGGTCTCAGTGCAGCCTCCCTGGTATCAGGCGCCCTCTGCTGACTCCTGTGGGCTCAAGTCGGTTTCACACAGGCTGCTCTCTCGGGTCCTGCAGCAATGCACTTCAAAGTGGGAGATCAAGGGTTGACTTGCGCATGACATCCAGAGAATGACAATGCCTCAGCCAGCCTGCACCTACTGCTACGTGCCAGTCCCAGAGACACAAAGGCATACAGGCTGCTCCCGCACTACTTTGCTGCATGGAGGAAGCACTCATTCGGGAGGGGGATATACATACAGGAAGGAGGCAGTGCTCTATGTGTATTCTATAGAAATACTGTTGGGTTAAAGGCAATGCGAGGGCCAGAGGAAGGACAGCAGAGGAGACAGAGTGGCAGCAGATTCTTGGTGGTGTCCTGTTTGATTGCTGAAGCATTAATTGATAAGATACAGTCACATCACACAACTTATCTTACTAGAAACACATCCCAGTATCTCACGCATTACAAACCACACATATATAACAGTGAGATCAAAGGGTTTTCAAAACATTTACAAAGTGATGTCTTTTATTGCTCTGGAGAGCAAGAAAATATATTTCTACTTCTAAATTCTTTAGTTGGTGCACCGTTTTGAAGTAAATTACTCCATCTCCTCTTACCAGCCTATCACCCTGGCTTTCAAAATGGCATTGATATGCTGGATTCAAATAACCCTGAACTTTAAAAGTGTGGCTTGTTTGCCTGAATAGCTAATATGAACTATAACTTCAGTGCCTGCACATCTCAGGGCAGCACTAAGTTCTGCACTTGTTTCTGAACTATTGCTGCAGTTACTTCCACTGCATCACTGCAAAATTATCTTTCACCTCTGCCAGTGTCCCAATGACACACACCCTTTTCGACCCCAGTAGGCAGCTTCAGTGGGAGTAAGGGAAACCTCTTGTGATCATGCTGTCATTTCCTCTGGTTGGCTCTGTTATTCCAGAAAGTCTTTGTGAAGGAGCCAAGTGGTCCAGCCGCAGACAGAAAGTGGGCTCCCCGCATGCATCTGTGGTTGTCAGCCCAGCAGGGGAGGGAGGCGCTCCTGGCAAGCCAAGACGAGGAGAAAACAAACATGGTGCTGAAACAAGACAGCAAATGCCTGCTGATGTAAATCAGGCCTGAGGGATCGTCTTGGTACAATAAACAAAATATAATGAATTACCTGGAAACGTGTTGACAGTATCACTGCAAATGTCAAGCAAAAACAAAAAAAAAGAAGATATCACATTAATGTTTGCTTTAAACCACCCAAAATTCTCCTTTAATAAATAATACACAAAATATGAAAGAAAAAGGGTTATTTTTACTGTTACTTAGCTTTCAAAAACATACGTGTGTTCTTATAGTTGGGCAGTTTATAACCCAAATCTTACCTCTACCTGTTATTTCACCCCCAGCTGCTATTTGACAAATCAAAAAGTTGGAGTATTGCGCCACCTATTGAGACAAAGTCACCCCACCAATGTGTGGTTTCCAAAATGGTTCCTCAAGAGATCAGCTGAAAATATAAAAAGTATGAAGAATGGTTTGATTTAACCATTCAAACTACTTCACTGTTATTTTTGTCTTATTTCCTGAAATAAATTCAGCAGCAAAGATAATATATTCACTGCACTGACCACAAGTTTCAGTTCCTCCACTGTTATCTCTCCACCCACAATGCATTTATGCCGTTGTGACCTTTTATGGGTGTGGTTTCTGGCATAACACATCCACATAGTGTTACAGTCATCAGATTTCTAAATACATTAAGGTAAAAAGTACAATATTTTCTTAAAATTATGTGAAATAAAAACTTAAAAAATGGAAACACTCATTGTATCATTTCTACAACTGTATTCAGTGAAATACCAATTTACTATTTAACAAAACTTATGTCAAAACCAAATCATATTTTAAAACAAGACAAAACTGATAAATCTTTCAGTGAGATGTCTATGACCCAGTAATGATACTGACTTGACTTAACTACAGGTTTGGCAACCTCTTTTACACTATGGCACTGATACTCTGCGTGCCCCAGGCTTATAACAAATGAATGCACAGAAATAAAAGTCAAAATACAAAACTGCAAGTAAAATTAACCTTTAAACTGTTTAAAATGTATCTAAAATAATTCTATTTGCACAAAGGAATTACTAATCAATAGTGAAAAGTTCAAAAGTTGTTATACACATTTATAAATGAGGTTTTGGTTATGTATTATGTGACTTTATTTAAAGGCAGTAGTGGAAAGTACCTAAGTACATGTACCTAAATACTGTACTTAAGTACAACTTGAGGTAATTGGATTTGAATTAATTCTATTTTATGCCACTTAATACTTCTACTGCACTATAGTTGAGAAGTAAACACTCTACTTGTAACTGTGCTACATTATACTATTTACTTTGCAGATGATTAATGATAACAGGATGAAATAAACAACTCAATAATATATAAATTAGACCACTTAAAATGAGCTCCTGTTCATTCACCTAGAAGATTAAAGTGCTGCTTACATATTAATGGATCAGTAATAATAATCCAATAGAATAATATATCTATCTATATTAATATAATACTGTGGATAGGGCCCTTCTGTATGAGTAGTTTTGAATATGTGTGCCCATGTTGCTGTTAATACTTTGAATAATTATAATGGTATATTTTTATATTGTAGTAGTACAATACAAGATAACATAAAAAAAACATAAAAATAAAAACTATACAAAAACTCAACTCAAAATTACAAGGCAATATATATATATATATATATATATGTGTGTGTGTGACATAATGGTGTGATTAGTAGCTGCAAAGTCAGCAAAGTAAAGTATCTGTAAGAGATATAGTGTAATATAATATAGTATGGGACATAAAATATAATATAAAAGGTCAAATGTAATATAGTTTAACACAATAAAAAATAGTCTATAATACAGCAATATAGCATGTAAAGTATATGAGTATAGTGTAGGATAATATATGTTCCTAGTTGAATAAAGGGTGTGGTTGAGGACACTGAACACACTGTACTGAGGTTTAAAACCAGGTCAAAGAGCGCCCTCTAGTCTCCCTGAGCAGTCAGTCCAGCTCACCTCCAGCACTGTCACATAACACCGCTGGCCAGGACAGGAGACGGATACCTCCTCGTCCTCTATATTTAGATGTCTAACCTGCAAAAACAAATCCTTTCCTGTCCCTCGGAGAAAACTGAAATCATCGCAGGAAGCAGACGGCTCACGGGAGGGCCCAGCAGCGATGGCCTCAGTGAAGAAGGACGACAGACTGACCAGGTCTCAGAGCTTCATGTGTGTCGGTTTCGCTGGGGTTTTCAGTAAAACCGCCACGTCGCCTTTGGAGGTGGTTAAAATTAAAAGTCAGGTGGGGACTTTTCACTGTAAGAGCGGTTTCTGGCAGAGTTTCCTGCTCATCTACCAGAATGAGGGACTTCGAGGATTTTGGAAAGGAAATCTCGCCTCTTGTCTGCGGTTGTTCCCCTACACCGCAGTTCACCTCACAACATACAGAAAGTAAGTACATCTGATGTGTTGTTTCAGTCTCACACTGTATGGACTTATAAAACAACTCCTGTGGTTGTTTACATCCGAGTTTGAGCCAGTTTATGCTGAATTAGCTTGTTAGCCAACTCGGTCAGCTGACGTTGACATAGCAAGTTTGTGTGGTGAACAGTGAGAAATATATCGATATAAATACACATTAACTTAAAGAGAAAGGATGACGTGAGCACAACGTTCATTGTTGGTTGTTTATGATTATTTATAAAGAAAAGGGGGTCGTTGAAAGCGTTTGTTTACTTCTAGCTAAACATGTACTTCCTGTTTTACGTGTCACCGCACCTTCTATTGTCAGCCAATCAGAAGGCTGGATTTGCTCAGTCGATTTTTAAAGTGACAGGTGTTTTCTTCGCCCTGAGTGTTGTCCCACAGGTAGTCTGTGTTCCCACAGCACAATACATTATGTGTTATTCATTCCAGGTAATTATTTAAGTTAAGGCCAATAACTATTATTGTCATTGCTGATTGGTCTGCCAATTATCTTTCTAATTTGATCAGATAGTTAGTTCTTTTGTCTTTGTCTTCTTTTGAAGATATTTCATTCACTATTAAAAAAGTCAAAGAAAACCAACAGTTCATTGCAGTTTGTTCCTTGCTTGTGAAGTGACATGAAGTATTAGGCTGGATATTTAAATTTTTTCCACAAATTTTTCCTCTAAATCTGGTAATTGACCAACCATTTAAGTAATTGTTCAAAGCATAAATAAGGCAGTTCCAGCTTTCTAAATGTAAATATTATTAGTCTTATTTGACTTATGTGATAGTCAATGGAATAACCTTTGATTCTGAACTGTAGATTTGACAAAAAAAGCTGAACAACTTACGCTCTAAGCTGTGATGGCCATTATTCATTTATTTATTTATGTACAGTTTTCTGACATTCTATTAAACAAATTATTATTGATCAAACAGTAAAAATTATAAATTAATGTAATTGATTAGTTGCAGGCCTAACATATAAATAAATGTATGTTCATACGTGAATTATGTATGTATTATTTCCTGGGGAAGAAGACAACCTGTACTGCCTGTGAGGCTGAACTCAGGGCACACTGCTTCCAGACACTGCTGCTGGGTTACTGCAGGGCAAAACACACAGGCAGCATGACTGAGACATAAACACACAGGGCAGAGAGGAGCCTCAGCCATGACAACAGTAATCCAACGCGCATAAATACAGTATCTACTGTCTGTAGGCTGCAGCAGCCTCTCACACTTCAGGACACGTGTGTGTGTAAACACCACAAACCACTGTCCTGTACTGTACATCGTGTCCCTTTATGTCCTCTTCACTCACACATGGCCCCAGTTATTCATTTGCTCCTTAAGTGTACGTGACTTAAACACGACCTTGAAAATGTTCTGACATAGTTAATGTTTATTCATTTGCACATATAGAACACAAAAGAGTAATCATGGAGCTATTGTTAATAAAGAACCTGCTTATCTATACATGGAACTAGGGCTGCAACTAATAATTATTTGGATTATTGACTATACTGTGTGGTTTGTTGGTGATTAAATATATGTTTTTAATAATTAATTAATCATATTGCATCACAATTTTTGTTGAACCCAAGGTGACATCTTAAAATGTCTTGTTCCCTCCAACCAATAGTACCAAACTCAAAGATATTCAATTCAGGGCTGAAACAATTAGTCATGTAAGAGACATAAAATCAATTGTCACTTTATCAAAAGTAATTTATTAAGAAAAACATCTAAATATTCTGCCTCTGTGAGCATTTGCTCCTTTTTTCTTTTTTCTATATAATTGTAAATTAAATCCTTTTTGGTTTTGGACTTTTGGTCAAATAAAACAACTTATTTGAAGACGACATCTTGGGGTCTGAGAAATTGTGAGACGCATTTTACACTTATTTATTATTTAATGAATGATATGAAACAAAATAAAGCAGCACATTCTCACATTTGAGAAGCTTGAACCACCTTTTTGTTTCAGAAAAAAGACAATTAAATGTGTTTGCCTTCCTCTGTGTCCAGGATAGTCCACCTTCACATGGACGAAGTGGGCTTCATCTCTCAGTGGAGAGCCATATTGGCCGGTGGACTGGCGGGTGCTGCTGCCGCCCTGACCACGTACCCTCTGGAGGTGGCAGAAACCAGACTCATCGTTCAGAACTGCAGACAGCCCACGTACATCGGCGTAGCTCATACTATCTCAGAGATCTACAGGAGCGAAGGATTGCTCGCTCTCTACAGGGGCTTTTCTCTCACTTTCCTGGGTGTGTTTGCATATTCATACAAATTAATTCATTTCTAATGGGTGGTGTTAAGATATTAGACGTTTATACTTTTCACGTATTACTGAACTTAGTATTTACATGGGCTGATTGATTCAAAGAAATGATGATGTTCATCTACAGCCTACATTATTTGCTCTCCAAAGTTCATTATTGATAAGTTTAACTGTAACTCTACATGTTCAATTGTCTACAGGTGCTTTTCCCTTTTCCATCGGGTGCTATGCGGTCTACATGAACTTGGACAAGCTGTGGCAGGAGCCTCATTTTCGTTTCACTCCCCTCCAGAACTTCATTAATGGCTGTCTGACAGCGGCGGTGGCCCAAACCCTCTCCTACCCTTTTGAAACTGTAAAGCGGAAGATGCAGGTAATTTACCACCAGAGCACTTCCCTTTCTGTATGCAGGTTATGGTTTCAGGAGAAGTGAGAAGTACAGCAAACATCAGTGTTTAACTAAGTCCACTGGTCTAATAATTGGTCAGCTAAATTAGTAATTTGAATGTACTTTTAAAGGGAGATTAGGTTATATCCATTAAAAATCACCTCTAGTTAAACTTGATGAAAAAGGAAAAAGTTTACAGTTTAGTAGGTTCTGTATACTCGCTGAATTACCACCTTTTATCCATTAGGGGGCAGTGGGAGTCTACCCAAATTAGGTTTAGCCTCACTTGGTCTCTGTTTGGGAACATAGAAAGTTTAAGTATTTAAAGACCACTCTTAGTTTTTCTTATTGACCTTTAAAATGATTGAACCTATGGCTATTTATAGAGTCAAGATATTATAAATAACACCTTTGTCATAAGAAAGCACATTGGTTTGCAGCACATTTACGTTAAATTACGTTTGAGATACTTTATGCATGTTAGGAAGGACACATGGGGAACAATGGCGCTTCAAAGGACAGAATATTACATTTGTTTTAATCAGCCTATTAATAGCTACCACAAGGTTCAACAGCAGCTGGGAATGTGAATGTGTCCCGGGTCTGCAGAAGCTATAGATAAGTTCTCTAAAGATAGACGTATCAGACTGTAGGCGAACGGAGAGTTGTGTGTGTGTGTGTGTAGTCCATCAAACCATCACAACCAAGTCACCTTACAATAAAGAACAATGTCACATAATTATTTGATTTAGGGATTCAACTCTTGTCTCTGTCTCAGAGTTAAACATTAAAGTCAGAGAATGAATGCTTGGGAAACAGCTGAGGATGTTTGCAGGAGCTTAGGCTAATGATTTAAGCTAAGTATTGTTTAACTCAGGGGCTGGCTTGATGTTTCCTCTACAAATGAAGCTGTTTGAATAGTCTTATGACCTTAAGGCTGCGTGTTCCCTTTGGGAACCTTGAAACTTTTGATCCATTTCCTCTGTCACATGACAGTCAGCCTGCAGAGTTGTCAGTGTGGGTAACAAAAGAGCACAGGACGCAGTGTGACTGAGTCTCATGAGCTTTGATATACTGTTAACTAACGTCATTATATATCTCTGAGTTCCCTATCTCATCCAGCCTTTAATTTTTCACTTTTTCGCAAAATGATGATATTACTTTATTGTCTTGTCGTTATATTTATTTGTGTAACAGTGTTGCTTATTTTACTTTCTAAAGAAATGTGCAGGTTGATTGCTATAGAAGTTCAAATGAGAAGTTGATGAAATCAGTAGATGTGGCAGATATCAGAGTTAGTCAGGCACCCAGTGATCACAGAACAGTCCTAAATAGAGCGGGAGTGTCAGCTTTCCTTCACTGTGTTACTTATTAGCAAAGCGCTGCTGATATACATATATTGTCTTGTCTTGTCATGCGTCACCTTTCTGGTTATTACTTTACAGACACACCATGACACGCTGCTGATTCACTGCTGTTTATTTTCACTTTCAATCTTTTCTCAGGCGCAGAGTGCCCGTCTGCCTCATCTTGGTGGAGTCGATGTCCATTTCAGTGGAATGATTGACTGTTTCATACAGGTTGTGAAAAACAAGGGCGTCCTCTCACTGTGGAACGGCCTAACTGCCAACACAATAAAGGTACAGTTCACTTAAATATTAATTCATCATTATTTCAGCCATACTGTACTCTCTATCCATCATAAGGATGGAGTACTGGTGTACTCCTGTTACATAAAAGTGAGAGTGCACGAGCTTGGAACATGAGTGACTTTACGACAGTTGGAGAATTGTGCCCCACAGCCTACGTGAAAGGGAGAGTGAGGAAGTGGGGGCAGGGCATGGAAAGCAATGTTCAGTGTGTAGTTCATAGCGTGAATATCACAAGCAAGGTGCGCAGTCTGTCTCTGGAACAGCATGCTCCACTCTCCTATTTCAGCTGGAAATGTCATGATAGTTGTATGTTGTTTTACAAATAGAAAGCTCTTGTCCTGAGCAGCTGAATGAAAATAAAGCAACAAGTTGAGAAAAAAAATAAAGCACACTTTAGTCAAACCAGACAAAAATGTTCTCTGTATGGATTAAGGCTTTTAATCACATGATTGAGGTCAGTGAATAAAAGTGTTGGCAGGAATACACTGATCTCAACCTCTTGTCATTCACAGATTATCCCGTACTTTGGTCTTCTCTTCACCTGCTTTGAGATGTGTAAGCAGGTTTGCCTTTACCGCAACGGGTACATCGTCTCACCCCTGAGCTACAGACTTGCGCCGGGGGTGGACCAGAGCCTCGGGCCGTACGAGCTGGAAGAGGCGAAGCGCTACTTGAAAAACAGGAACTTTGGGTCAGGGGAGTCGTCTTTTGGAAACCGCTGGTGAAACTTCACTTTAGAGGATGTCTTGTGGATGAATATTGACTGCTGACCACACTTGACCAGCAAAGCGAGTTATTTGCCAGATTAAAATACTTCAGAGTCTTGTGTCTGTAATAATTACATAACATTCAGGTTTCATGTCTTCATACAAGGTATTAACATGCATTTACATTATGTCCTGTCGACAATGGTCTACCTCTTTCACACAAAGTTGTTATTTTATCTGGCAGTATTATTCGTTTATGAATTGTTCACTAACAACTGTCTTTCCATGACTCTTGTTTTAACAAAAATATTATGTGCCTTGAGCGTTAACTATTTATTTTGAGGCTTATGTCAGTACTTGTGTCATTGACATTAAATAGTGCCATAGTTTATTCAAATAGCTGCAAATACTGTTTTACTTAACCTGTGTAGAATGTGTTTTTATTGTACAATCAATGTAAAATTGTGATGTTTCATAAGTCTGGTTATGGACAATCATGTGCTAACATGGATTGTGATAAAAGAAAATATGCTTAGAACATTAAAATTTCACTGACCCATTTTTATTTTATTTTTATTTATTTATTTTGTATGTTTTTTTTAATGTGGACTACATAGATTATATATCTTATATATTGATCTAACCTTCAGGTCATTAGTGGACACTATGGTGTCATTAGTGGACACTATGGTGGCTCTAGTGGTCCACTAGTTCTCCCATGTTGGGGGGAAAAAAAATCACAGCAAAGGTTCCCTATTGGATGCCACTATGGTAGATAAAACGTGATAAAGCGCCCTCTACAGCGGGCCAATGTGTAAGAAAATGTGATTAAGTGCCCTCTAGTGTGCCCTTCCAGTGGAGTGATACAGTGCCAGAGGCTGCCCTAAATGCTGAAAAATGAGTTGGTCTCTACGTATTTGCCTCTAAATAGATAATAGTTCCCTGTGTGTTTTTTTTTATTACAGAGGTGTAGTGGTTTTACTTTAAATCACGAGTCACATAATAAATCTTAACCAGAGTTAGGAACTGTTTAACCATAACTGCATTACAACTTCCTGCTAACTGGTCTGCCCACCGCAGACAACCTGAGTCTGCAGATAAAAACCACATTGCTGAGGCTGATTTACTTCAGTCGATGCCTAAACTTTGTCCTGTAGTATAAATACAACTTGTTTCCAATGAATATTCTTGCGTCAAGTGGCAATTTGTGATAACAGGCAACACTTATGGTAAGACTTGTATCTGCTGACACTGGGTTTGCATGGAATCAGTCAGCTGATTCAGTCATCCTCCTCTTTTTCCATACTGTGGGAAACTGAGTGACAGCCGAAGGATATTAACAGATGGGATGACCTTTACCCACCATAGCCTTTAGGACTCAGGTGCTTTAAATGTGAAAATCTGATACACCCTTAATCCAACTCTGATCCAAAACTTACTTTAACAGCAGTCTGAGCTCTGCTGAGACTGATTCAACCTGAATATATAAACAACTTATTCAGTGAACTTTCCTTCTTGTCGGACACTTGTTGCCATGATGTACTTGAGTGATGAGGGAGAGCACCAAATCTGAATCAAAGGACAACTGTTGGCCCCGCCCGCCAGTCCCACAGCCGACCAATGAGACGCGAGAGTCGAAGTTCACGGGGTTCCTCTTAAATCCCCTCTCTTCCAGATTGGAGTCGGCCATTTCAACTCCACAGGCAAACCCCACCGACTAAAGTAAGCGGGACGCTGGTCTGATAACATCTGAAGATGAATGAGACAGCTATTTCCTTCGCCAAGGATTTCCTGGCTGGTGGTATTGCCGCTGCCATCTCCAAAACAGCTGTAGCCCCCATCGAGAGAGTCAAGCTTCTCCTCCAGGTAAGCGTCATTCCTGATGGCACTTTAGTTAGACACAGCTGTTAATTAGATGCTTCCTGCTCGGGTCTGCGACGCACAACTGGGGCTGTTAATGTGCAGCATTTTCCTGCTGATGTTTTAGTAACTTCTAAATGATGGAGGGTGCATTTAACAAGATGTGATTAGATGTTGTGATTGTGGAAACAATGTAAAGATGCTGCATTGTTGAAGAGTAGAAATTGGATTGTGAACATAGTGAGTTAGAGCAGCTCTGTCAGAGATTGGTGTAGGAACAGATGAATGAGCACAGTCCAGGGGCATCAGACCTGTTACGTAATGCACCGGCCAGCAAGCTGCAGCCTTGCAGAGTGTTATAAAAGGCAGGCATGGCTATCTACTATGACTGTGGGCTTCAAAAGTACTCCTCTTCCATGACAGGACTTAAGTTTGGCTTGACAACAAGCAGGCAAGGTCAGAGCAAGGTTTGCGCCATGGCACTCCTCTGCTGCATTGAGCCTGGACTAAGTAGCAGCAGGAGGAGGAGGAGGAGGTGGGGCTGTGAATTGTTGAATTGATGCCATCAGAGTTGTACTCTGGCACATGGATACAAATGTGTCTGTCAGACAGACACAGGAGAATCATGGGAATTTGTGTCCTCACTGAGTATGCCCCTTAGAAGGTTAATAGAATAAAGACAGATGCTCCTTAACACTGAAAAAATAGAAATGTCAGGCTTGATCTGCTACTCCTGCCTTCTTCAGTTTATTGTCTCTAATGCGCTGCCGTGTGTCTGCTTTCATGACAGGTACAACATGCCAGTAAACAGATTTCAGTCGACAAGCAGTACAAGGGCATTGTCGACTGTGTCGTCCGTATCCCCAAAGAGCAGGGCTTCCTCTCATTCTGGAGAGGGAACCTCGCCAACGTCATCCGATACTTCCCCACTCAGGCCCTCAACTTTGCTTTCAAGGACAAGTACAAGAAGATTTTCCTCGACGGTGTGGACAAGCACAAGCAGTTCTGGAGATACTTTGCAGGTAACCTGGCGTCTGGTGGTGCCGCCGGAGCCACGTCTCTCTGTTTTGTCTACCCCCTCGACTTCGCCAGAACACGTCTGGCTGCTGATGTCGGCAAAGCCGGACAGGGGCGTGAGTTCAAAGGCCTGGGAGACTGCTTGGTGAAGATCACCAAGTCTGATGGCATCAAGGGTCTGTACCAGGGCTTCAGCGTCTCAGTACAGGGTATCATCATCTACAGAGCTGCCTACTTTGGTGTCTATGACACCGCAAAGGGTGAGTTTTCATTGTCAGGTGTTTTTAAAGCTTGATCTATCTCGTCTCAGTGGACATCCTTGTCTTTAAGACTCAAGTTAACTTTCCCGATCGATATTTTTCCCACAGGCATGCTTCCAGACCCCAAGAACACACACATTGTTGTCAGCTGGATGATTGCTCAGTCTGTGACCGCCGTCGCTGGTCTTGTGTCCTACCCCTTCGACACCGTCCGTCGTCGTATGATGATGCAGTCTGGACGCAAAGGAGGTAACAACAGCACAACATAAATCAAAGTATAACATCCTGTTTTTGCTCCTGTGTTACTAGAATAAAGGTGTGACGTCTTTGTTATTCTGTTTCCCCCCTCAGCTGACATCATGTACACCGGCACCATTGACTGCTGGAAGAAGATCGCACGTGATGAGGGCTCCAAGGCTTTCTTCAAGGGGGCCTGGTCTAATGTGCTCAGAGGCATGGGTGGCGCCTTCGTGCTTGTCTTGTATGATGAGCTTAAGAAAGTCATCTAAATAGTTTTTATATGTCCACTGTTCATGTTGTGAAGTTCAACTGTAACATATCTTGTACATTTGGAAAGGACTTAAATGCAGCGCTATATTTATAGGGACCAACTAGTATTTTCTACTAGTTGTACTGGGGGAATCTGTTATGCACTCTTCTCTTGGCCCATGCTTTTGTCTGTTTTGTTTTGCCCCCTGACCAGAATGTCATTCCCTGAACACAGGAACCTTACCGGAAAAAGAGAAATAAACACAGCCTACTGAGTGAATCTCCTGCCTGGTTTTGAAATGTTATGTCATATATGAAGGGTATCGCTATCAGTACAGCCAGAGTGTAACCGAGAGTCTTGCTTCAGGAAGCAGTTTGGCAACCTCTTGTGTCAAACGTAATCTTAGAGGTGCAGAGGTCTCCCAGGTTGTAGTTGGGGGCAAGCCAAAATCAGCTGAGAAAGTTGACCTGCAGACAATATTTCAGCCAAGGCATGCTTGCAGGGAAGTGATAGGCCGGAAGTCAGTAGCTTATATCCGTGTTGTTTAACATAATATTGATAGCTCAGTAGTACGTTTGCAAGTGTACGTTTGTGCAGGAAAGAACCAGCGCTACCTGCAGTGAGGTGGATTATTCCAACCCTCTAAATATACTTTCATCTCCTGCCAAGCCTCATCCAACCCCAACTGTTGTGACTGAGGACTTTAACCTTGAGCTGTCTGACCATTCAGCAGTATGACAAACCTGTTCCATTTTTATTTTTTGTCGCAGTCAAGTGTGCTCTAGATCTGTCAAAGTGTAAAAACATTATTCCGTATTCTAGATATTTATTACAGCAAAAGGCCCCTGCATGCGTTCATAGTTGAGTTTTAGGCTTGTGTTGATGCGTATTTTAAGCGGCGTCATAAATTTAATTCCTCCTGATACATGATCTTGCCAGCTGTTAAGAAGCATGTGATTGTACCCTACACAGGACAGGACATAGTGCACTTGCTGGCAACTTGTGAGTACTGGCCTTTTCATTTCTAATAGCAGATTGTAATCTTCGTCTTAGTGCTGCCATTGTATCAAAACAACTCTCTGCACTAAGTACTGTATTTGACATCTTCAGTGTCTACACTGGCGTACATTTAACACCACCTCTGACACACCGATATCCAAGAATATGCTGTCACTTTGTGTTATGGACTGTATGCAGACTCTGAGGTCACAGGACCACTTGGCAGCTTTGATCAGTCTTCAGCATTTTTCATAAGAGCTGCTGCCCCCAGGGAACATTATCTATCCACGTCAGGCTAAAAGAAATTAAGACACCATTTCATTTAAGAGGCTATTTGACATGTGTGGTCTGAAATTCTTATCAGTGACTTGGAAAACAGAACAGTTAAGTTCTCGGTCTGCTGCAGGCATTTAACATCACAGAAATCCTCCATGAGCTTTTTGTCCCTGCAGCTTTAATTACTCTTATTGAAAGTGTGACTACATAATTTGAGTATATGAGAATAAGTTAGGGTCTAAAGTGTTAGTCTAGCAGTTCATTAAAAGTTTATTTCTGACACTAGAGAGGTCTGTCTTGCATTTTCCCCACAAGTCTTTACTTATGGAGGTTAAACATCCAATATGATTAACTCCCAAAATGTCCTCTACATATTTAAATAAGAGTACAATTAACCAGCTACAGATAATGTGCATGTCTGGAGCTGATACACATTCAGAAGTTCATCCTGTGAACTTTAAAAGCACTCTGCTTAGCAAGTATGTAGACACAATGAGTGTGTCTTGGACACTGAACCCAGGCTGATCTTGAATGGAGGACATAGCCTCATTTTAGCAACACTATCAGATTACATGATTTACTCAGCTGGACATACTCTAATCTCCTTTCAGCAATTCAGAAAGTCTTGGACGTAACTCCTGACCTAAGAAAATCAGTTTTAATACTGTTTTGACCACTCCATCCCCAAAAGCCCCTCTCAGCAGGTAGCACATGGTTAATCCTTCATTCAGCATGCGGCTCCATTACAACTTTTAACGGGGATTAGTGAATCAGAAGCAACAGGGATCACAGCCATTAACACACTGTGTGTCTGTCTGTAGGCTTTAGATAGGCCGCGCCTCCTTGAGGTCACACACGCAACAAGTCAGACAAGTGTAGTCTTTTTTTTTTTTTTACTATGGAAAACTACGTTTATTTTGTTGGTAGTTGCAATTTTCCTAATTGTGTGTTTGAATTAATTCATATTTCTCAGTATTTGGCGACAGTAACTCCTTAAAATATGTTCTGTTCATGCAAAGCTTTGAGCGTCTGGACACAGACCCAAGAGGACCCAAAGACTGAGGTCAGAGAGAATGTTATTTTCAAGTCAGCCTGGTAATAAACATTCAAATTAAATTTTAGTAAATGTTTCAGCCCTCCTGCTTCAACCTTTGTGTTTGAGCAGTTGTGGCTCACTGGTGGAAGAAGTTTCCATCACTATAGTAAAAGTAGCACCACTGTAGAAAATACTCAAATGCAAGTAAAGGTCCTGCATTAACGAAATATACTCAAAGTATCAGTAAGTAACTAAGTATTCAGTGCAGAAAAATTAGTTATGCTATATTATTAGATTAATATTACTGCTGCATTCATGTGTAAGTCGGTTTTAGGCAGTGGCAATGGAGCTAGTATGTATTATTTTAATCTATAACAATGCAACATATTTCATTAACTGACATGTTTTATAATCTTAATTTATTACATATAACTGTCAAACAAATATAGTGGAATTAATAACTAGACTAATATATTTCCTTCTGAATTGTAGTGAAGTATTAAGAAAAAATGGAAATACTAAGTAAAAGTACCCTCATGTTGTTGAGTAAATGTACTTAGTTACATTCCTCCCCTGCTGTGGCCCACTCTCTGACAGTCAGTGTATGTATCCACATGGAGGTGTACGGATCACTGAAGCTACCCTTCACATTAAAAACCTTGTGTCAGGCAGCCTGTTGCGTAATTTCAGCTGCTAGACTGAATTACGTCACAGCTCCAGCAGGTCATGACCTCAGTGGTTTCCGCTCATGAGGGAGATGACTTAGAAATAAATAAATAACTGGTTAAAGGCAGTGTGAGTTAATGTGAAGCCCTCTATTAAATATAGAGCACAGAATACGTGCTGATAGTATCAGCTTTATTGATTCGATTTATTAGTACCAGTCAGCCATTCTTAATTAAAATTAAGGGTGCTCATTAAAGGTCTGTTAATAGTTTAAAGTCTTTCAGTGACTATAATTGTTGAGCTATTTCTAGAGTGTGTTTACTGCACTCTTAATGTATGTTGTTGAATTTACACCCAACAGCGAAGCACATTCATATGTTCCTGTGTTCTGATTGATAGTACGAAATCAATAATATTCAGATAAAACCATATCATCATGTTCCTCCAAATCAAAAGGTGTTTGGCTTCACTTCCGCTCTGTATACAGATGAAGAGCAGCAGCAGCGCCACCGTGTGGCATTAATTGGTTACTGCTACCTTAGATTATCGGCTTTAAAGACTTTATAAGTCAGTAATATTCAGAGCTAATGCATCTTTCCAAACAGCTTCAGCAACTAGTATGTTTCATCACTATTACATCATCTTCAGAGTTTGTATAATTTAGAGGGTAAAAAACTGTTCTGTACCAAAATCAATGTTATTAAAACTGATTTAATGTAATGCACTAAGGTATTTATTGATTAAGTTTAATTATCTGTCCGGTGGATGATTCAGTAAATATAAAAGTAAAGTAAATCTGTAACATACAGGCCTTCATGAACTGATTACTGTCTGTTATTATTATCTCAATCAGGACAACTTTAGGATAATAAATACTACCCATATCATTATCCATTCCCTTATTAATTTCACCTGTTCTCAGTTGTTTTAAATTATTTTTAATAGGTTGTTGATGTCTTTGTGAGTTACACTGGAAGAAGGAAAACGTCTGTGTATCTCCTGTCAGTCAGTCTCTGTAAAGTAACAATTACTCAAGTACTTTAACTCGACCTGAGTATTTCAATTTTTCTGCTACTTTATATTTCTACTCCGCTACATTTCAGAGGGAAATATTGTATTTTTTTACTTTATTTAACATTTAGTTACTAGTTACTTTTTTCAAATAGTAATTGTTAATTGATATTGGTATTAAAGATTTAACCAATGGACCACAAACCTTTTGAGACCTTTTACAAAAAGAAATGTCTTTGAATTCAGGTGTATAGTTGTAGAGTTGTTTAAAGTTCAATGATTTCAAATCTAAACTTCTTTAATTTAAATAAGTGTTTGAGGCCCATAGAGGCCAGACCAGCAATGATTTTACAAAGAAAACCCCCAAAACAAAACAAACAAAGATCACAGAAAAATGAATATACATTTTTTGTGGCAGAATTTATGTTTTTCTTCTGTTGTACCCCATGAATCATCTCACAGCCCCCTGGCCACTCCCACACATTATTGCCTCAGTATTTATAATATAATATAATATAATATAATATAATATAATATAATATAATATTATATAATATAATATAATATATCATATAAAACAATATAATATAAAACAATATAATATAATATATATTATATTATATTATATAATATAATAAGCCACAGGGGCCATTTTACTGCAGAACCAGTACTTTTGAGACATTAAGTACTTTAGGATAGCTAGATAGACAGATAGTCAGTCAGTCAGTCAGACAGACAAGACAGAGAGACAGACAGACAGACAGTCAGTCAGTCAGACAGACAGACAGTCAGACAGACAGGCAGACAGACAGACAGACAGTGAGACAGACAGTCAGACAGACAGAACAGTGAGGACAGTGAGACAGACAGACAGACAGACAGGACAGTGAGACAGACAGTGAGACAGACCAGTCAAGAGACGAGACACAGACAGTGAGACAGTGGAGACAGACAGAACAGACAGACGGACGGACAGACAGTGAGACAGACAGACAGTGAGACAGTGAGACAGACAGACAGTGAGACAGTCAGTCAGACAGACAGACAGACGGACGCTGTCAGGTAAAGCTGGGACCTGTAGATGGCATCCTGTCATAATCAAAAGCAGACGCACGCGCTGACGGGCCGCAGCCAATCACAGCTCTTGTCAACCAGCTTTAGTAAAGTTCGTATCTCTCCGCCGTTTGATTTCACTTCGTCCTTTGAGGAAACAAGCGGCTCTGTTTTTACTCGGCGCTAAAGATGCGGGTGAACAAACCAGCCCCGACTATGTGCAACACACATCGGCTCAAAGTGCGAGATACGAGCGAAAAGAGCCTCTAGTGAAGAAAAGAAGATGTATCTATGGCGTTTCTCCATCGCCATAACCCTCGGCTTGGTGTGGTATTTTTCAGACTGCGGTCGCACAGTGACACAGTACATTTTATGTTTCCTCTTTTGTTTTTCTACCCCGCTGTTATTCGGGAACAGTGGACGAGAGAGCAGCACTCAGACTGATGAGGACACGAAGGAAAATCCTCTCCAGGTATTTAATACATGTTGCATTATTGTCCTTGAATGCGGGGACGAGTTGCTTTAATACGAGCGAGTGTTGCACGATCACAACTGAGTCTGTGTTAAACATCAAAAATGGGAGCCTGTGAATCATATTATACCACTTTAAATGGCCTTTCCTCTCTGCATTATATGTGTAGGGAAGTCTGTTCATAGTAAGACTGTTAAAGTAGTAGTGTCTTTATCATAGTGTAAGTTGGTAATATAATGTGTGTTTGCCAGGTTACAGCTGCTGTGAGATTAGTATAACTAGTCAGATATTGAAATATTCTCACTCATAGCCTGAGGTTTTTTTTTCCTCACTGAGGCCTGAGGAACTTGTTTTCACTCATCACATACCTCCCAGTCACCCAGAGGTCAGCACTAACTCTTACAGTTTCATACTATGTTCTCTATCTGCTCAATCCCTGGTAGTAGCCTCACCGTTTTGTGTTTTCCAGGAAACTGTCGAGGAAAACTTGTTCTGTGACTTGACTGATGAAGAGAGCAGCGAGCAGGCCGAACCCCTGGATTCTCAGTATCCACACGTGAAGAGGTCTCTACAGCAAGGTGCGGCTTGTTTTGTGTGTGTCTTTGCAGGTTAGAAACGTACTGTAACTAAAAGTTAGAAATCAGAGGTTCTGCTCTTGAGTTCGGGGTGTTTTGTCAGCAAATTTAAGCTGTTTTGATCCGACACAGTTGAAAAAAGGAGAGTTTTGCATAGACACAGCTGCAGCTGGAGCTCATGTTACATGAAGCGAGGAGGAGCTTTAGGGAAAGAAAGAAAAAAAGATGACAAGCACACCCTCTCTCAATAGATGGGTTGTGTATGGTTGTGATGTGTTAAACAGGAAATCAGATAACTGGTTTTCATACTTCATTATCACTTGTGCTTTGCAACTGTTGTTGTTGTGCTGTGTTTATTATTTTAGTTTGTGTGGAGCCAAAAGATATCAGGTTTCTTTTATAAGAGTAGCTGTATTCATGTTATGTATGTTTATATATCTTAAGCTTCACCTCAGACCTTCAAAATGGTTGAAAAACTATGGAATTTTACAACTTTATGCAAAGATTTGGCCTTAAAAGCACTTCATGTGTTCCGTCCTAAGTAAAGCGCTCGCAGTCAGATACATGAGCTGTTAACCATCTGGAGTTCAGCTTTACTTTGGTTCATTTTTGCCACATTTTTGCGCATTACTTTTTGTCATTGTTTAACACCTTTTAACTGTCCGTACCCACGTGCATGGTCGCATTATTTTCAGCACAAACTCAGCTGTAAGTGTTACTTCTCATTTGGTTAATTTAACAACACATAAGGCTGCCAGGAATACAAAAATACATTAAAAATGTATCTAAAAAAGACAGCACCTTTTAAAAACTTTCTTTAGTCAAACAAATCTTTAGTCATAATTATTTAAAATATTATTATAGAACTCTTTTAAGTTGTAAAAGATATTGTTTCACTATTTATATACAGAAATACATCAGAAGAATATAAGATATGAAACTATAATAGTCTGTTTACATGTAAAGTGATTTCTATTCCAACTGGAATTTTTGGCCTTTTCATTGAAAATCTGTTAAATATGAATAATTCAGTTTTAAAAATATCTTTGAAATAAATGTTTTCTAGTCTACGGACATAAATGATATACCGTGTGAAAGCCCTGCATCAGCACATTCAACTTGTCTCTACATGATGCATAAATAAAGTTTCGTTTGCTGTAAATAAAACATGTTCAGTGTATTCACTGATGAATAGATCTTTCTTCATCTCACCATCAGCTCCTCTCGCTCAGAGGAAAATCCTGTCACGGATATTTCTGCTCCGAAATGAACAGGTGTTTAAAAAAATAAATAAATAAAAAGTGGGGAGAAAAAATAGTTTTAAAGCTTTAAAGTCACTGCAGTCTTTGAGTTTGATGTTCAGGGAGGAGGTGAGCGTGGGAGCTTGGTGTTAATATGAATTTCCTTTGTGACTGCTCTCCTCAGTGTTTGAGTGTGCCTACGCTCAGCTGGTCCTGCCTTGGTACGACGTTCCCGAGCCGCGTGAGCACCAGCCTCTGCACCAGGTGCTCAGCAGGGAAGTCGACTTCATAATCGACCGGCTCATTGAGAGAGCCAAAAACTTTGATGTCTGCCAGGCGGTGGTGGGCTCCATTCGGATTTTGACCCAGCACTTGCATAATGCGAAGCAGTCTGACAGGTGAGACTTCACACCTACTTTCTCTCTAAATGACTGAGACGTCACGCTGCTTCTGTTACTCTTTGCACTCAGTAATGTCTGAACTCTATAAATACCTCCATATTTTTTTTATCACCTATGAATAATTGACTTTATTTTACTAGATAGGAGATCATACCTGCAGTGACATCCTCGTGGTTGTACATCCCCTCAGATTTAAGATTAAGATGAAGCGATTATCAGAGATATGTGGTGATACATATCTATGATCCAGTAATCTGTTCTCTTTTGCTTTGTTTCAGACAGCTCTTGTTCACTTCCAGAGCAGAGGAGATCACAGTTCTCCGAGAGTTTTCTGACGCTCTGGTACGTAACCTTTTTCCCAAATCTCTCTGGGGCCAAGAAGTCAACCGCTGTGCCTTAAATGAGATCGTTGCTGTAAAGGGTAAGAACGCCTTGAATTTCTCTCTCTCTCTCTCT